TGCTGAACTGCGAAATATTTTTTTGCAGGTAAAAAGATCTGTCTAATGTTGTTTGGTTGGCAGACTTTTATTTTTTCGCCCTTTCATGGTTTGCCACGGCATCATACGCTTGTCATGCTTGTGAGGTGCTTAAAAGTTCACTTCACAGGCACAGTGAGTTGAAGGAGCCTTCAAGCCTTGAGGAGAAACTGCTCCTGACACAGATAGTGATTAACCATTTCTAAATTATTTAAGATTATAATTTTATGAGGTATTTTATATAAACCAAATAATTATAACCATAACTAGGTACTGTTATTTTTATTTTAAACACACTTTTGCAAGATTCTAAAAATTCTTCCATGGCTGTATGTTTTGTCCTTGAGGTTTTTATGTCCTCCTCTTACAAATGAATGGATGACTGGCAATGTTCTTAGAAGTTAAAATTGATTCTTAACATTGATGTATTTCACAATATTATCTCTTGCAGGGCATTAGAATTAACATATATGAATAAGAGCATGAAGCTTTCTCCAGTCTCCTTAGTTACGGTGAAGCATGATGTGAAAGGGAAGTCCTGTCAATCAGATAATAAATTTTGAATGAGGCAGGTGGAATATGAAGAACAGCTATGTTTTAGGTCCAAAATCACTAAAATACCTTTTTTCTTTCCCTTTATGTTGGACATTATACAGCATATTCCAGAAGCTTTACTCTATGAGAAAGGAAAGGAATAAATTTATTAGAGCTAATACTGTAAATAATAGAATCTATTATTTCATCTTTGTCAGGTATCTTTTGATCATATTATCTAACAGTTTCCACATATGATGAGTAGACAAAGATATCTTGTTGTCCAAAAGGGAGAAGTTCTAGCTCAACCAGAATTTTGGCAGATCTTTGCTTTTGCAATGTTACACTGGTAACATTGCTTGAGTGCTAAAACATTGAATGTCAGAATCAAGCTGTGAAAGCCCAGTACTTAGTTTCCAGCAAAAAGTCTTCCATCACGGGTTCATTCATTGCTGACATGACATTTAGCTTTTGTAGATCCAGAATACAGTAGAGTATGTTAGTAAAATAAGCAACATGAAGATATTATTTTTATTAATACAAAGAGATATTAATACATGATGCTCTGGAACATCACACAGCTCTTCCAACGTCTTTGTAAGACATTTCTGCATCTTTGATTACAAAAAAATGAAATGTGGTACCAAAATACTCTGTTCAACTTGGAAATACGGACTTTTTATGATTCTTGACTTCCAGTAAGTAGATGTGCTTGATTCTGGAAAGAAGCAAATTGAAGTTCTTGATTATGGTTATACAGGAGAAAGTGGAGAGGAAGAACATTGTACAACTAGTTCTTGAAATTGTCTCTCTGACAATACATGTTTTATTGACCTAAAAAGCTGACATGCTACTGGTTTTAAAACAGCTTTTTGGTCTTGTCTGTGTCTATCTTATAATCTTCAAAGAAACATGCAAATTAAGTTGTGGGTTGTTTAGTGCTCTGAGGAATGAAAAATACAAAAACTCTTCTGTCTCCTCTTGAGTATCTGAGATTTGCAGTAAAAAAGACACAACACAGACACCTCTGGTATAGAAAGAGGGTTTCTCTGTCATTTGGGTTGTATTTCATTCTACCTGAGTTTGAAATTGTGGTTTTTGCTTGATAGGTAGTGAGCAAACCTAGTTGCAAACTTAAAAGAGAACCCACTCTTTCTACAACTAAGTTGTAGAAAGTCTTATTATGAAATACTGCTAGTATTATGTTGTGCTCTTTGCAGAGGGTGCTGGCCTGTTCTGTGAGCTTCAGCTAAAGGGCGTGCATTCCTTCCTAAATTTGGCTTCCCTTGGAAATGGACACAAGGGAAGCTGTGAACTCTAGGCTTCTTCGTCATCCACCTTATTCATAGATAGTGTACTTAAATCTCCTTCTGTTCGTGTGTATCCTCTAATGTGAAATGTGTCCTCTCTCCATCCAGTTTAAGTTGTGTCTTAACGGATGCTTGACATACACCTTTCTCTTAGAATTTCTGAAGTGTGCTATTTTTTTATTTTAAACCATTAAAAATCTTAAGTTTGACTCGTATGGAAGAGATGTGCTATTATTTCTGTGTAATCCTGTGACTGTGAAATGCAGACATTGAAAATTCATGTTTGTACACCATCAAATAAGTTGCCTCTCAGACGTTTGCTAACCACTGACTTCAGTAGCAGCCATAAAAAACCAAAACAGAAATTCACTGAAGGATAAGAGAGTTATGTAGAACAACAATTACCAAATTTTAGAGAGCCTTAATCCATTTTTCTTAGGCAAGACACGGTCCACAGGGAATATAGTTGAGTTAGTTCCTTGCCTGCTGAATGCAAGTGGAACCTGTTCCAGCAAGGTGTAGAAAGAAGCAAAAACAACTTTTGAATTTTAATACAGGAAACTTTCCTCTCCCTGCCCCCGAATGCACCGAATCTCTTGCTCATAACTTAGCTTAATTTAAAAAAAAACTTAAGAGTACCCACAGGTCTCTCTTGATTTGGAATTTCTTTCTCCTCTGCCCGGGTAAGATCGCTGGGATAGAAATCCCCTTTAAATTCAAAACTCTGCAGTTTTTCCAAGAAGGCTTGTTTCTGGAAGTGTGGCCATACCTAACCCTGTGTTGTACAAATAGAGCAGAGTTTTTGTGTGTTCGTGTTATGTGATGCTGTTTAAAAAAAAAAAGTTTCATGCAAATTCATCAAGTGCTTACCTGAATCAGTCTGTAAATGTAGAGTAAGAATTTTGTATTTTAAAGTAATAGAATTTAAGGCTGAGGAACATACATGCTTAATTATTGTGTTATGTTTTATCTGCAAATTAAGATGCAATTTACAGTTGCCTATTTTGTGCTAGAAAATTCTCGACTTAAGTTGTGAAGAGATAACTTGAGGACAAATGTAAATGTGTGCCAGAAGGGACGAGCCTAGCTGCTTTGTCAGGCCTTCGTTTATTGACTTACTGCCAAGCTCTTTCAAAATACCATGACCTTCTTATATAGAGCTCAATGTATCTGTCATTTGTTTATTTTTGTCTCAAAAACTTTTAAAGAAAACTTCCCCCACACCATTTTTACTGTAACACAATTCACTGTTTGTAATAAACTCAGATTAATTGATGTCTGAAGAAAAAAAGACGATGGTGTTTAGGTTTTGACTGGTTTTGATAGGCCCTCAACTGTCATACAGTTGAATGATGTTATTCTTGAAGATATGCTCCATATTCTGCATGTTGGACAGTCCTTCATACATAAAACTTCCCTTGGATTGTACATCTTGCAGCAGAATTGTGCTTCACAATGCATTCTTGTAGTCACTTGTGTGTAAGACTGAGAACCTTTCTGAGTTGAATCAATGAAAACAGTTTTGTTACATTGTCCTGTCAGCAGCAGTGCTTAATTAAAGGATTCCTGTCTACTGCTTTGTGTTCCTATTTTTGTGGACATTGTCTATTTTAATTCTGGATTGGTTCAGTAATTTGGTTTATGGTGTAGTCTTGCAAATGGCTGTCGTCACAGCTATAAGGTGGAAGAGGAAGAGGTGGTGAGGTGGTGTGAGGGGTTGATGTTGTGGAAGAGATACGGGAGATACTTAAGCAGCCATCGATGCTGATGCAAGCTCCTCTACGCTGCAGTAGTGTCCTGACTGAACTGGTTGGGTTGCATCCAGCTGACACGAGCATGAGACGTGTGAGTGACCCCCTTTATCGTAATGGAGTGTTACACCTTAACAGGTATTGTGTGTAGGTCTTACTGTTAATGTTCTGATTTCTGTGGGTTCCTGGCAGGTTACGGGGCTGTTTGGTTATTCTTTGACATCAAGCTGTCCGCTGAGTCAAGATACTTCAGTATATAGTGGAAAAGTTACAAATCACAGATAAGGTCATGAATTGAAGTTTGAATGCACTTGTATAGATGCACTCTGGGTCTTGGGGAGCACTGCCATTTCCTCTTCTGCAGAGAACACTTATGTAGTCATCTTTTAATGACTAGAACCTAGAAAGAGAAATTACAATTCTACAAATTAATTAACAATCACTACTTTTATTGCAAATCAAAAGTCTAATGAAACACCTGTGTAGTTTTGCAACTTCATTTTCTCAGAACACAGTTCTGTGTATATGTGTGAAGGTCTGCATCTGTATCATTGTGTGTACGAGTAGACTGTACAGGAGAGAGAGAACAGAAGAGATGGATTTTAAACTATTAAACAAGCTTGCTTACAGGTTTAGTAAGGAACAAAGTCAATCATCAAACTGGTTTGGGTCATGGTAGTTTAGTGAACTAGAAGTGTTTTGTGAACCACTTTCCTGTATTCCAAGATGCAAATATAGTTTAACTTTGCAATCTGAGAACTTGGGTTTTATCCCAAAGATTGCTGTCATATCATAATGACAAGAATTTTTTCCTGCAGCCATACTAGCATCTTGAAACAAGACCTGAGGGGTATGAACTTCCGTAATACATTTCCCTTTTATTCGTCACTTGTGATGCTTTCTGCTCCTGCCTCCTTAGTTCAAGTTCTTAGTTCAAAATTGATGTTACATGTTGTAACTTGGCAGACGAGGGCATGGAATCTGCTCCATGCTAAAAAGTTCACTTTTGGTTTAAAGGTGACTTATAGGTGAGAACCAGTGATTAATGATTTGAAACAGAAAAGTAATCAGTAAGAATACTGATGCAGACATGTGGCAGTTGTCTTAGTGTACAAGTAATAAAGATGTAGTTGGTTATTTTATTTTTAGTTAGATTTTATTAATGTTTAAATTCTCTAAGTTTTAAATTTGCCTGCGATTTTACTTTTAATAAAATTAAAACTGCAGGTAAAATGAAAACATTTCAGTTGGATCAAATCCTTTCTGTCTCTGTGTGAATTTTGACTTAAATGAAAAATGCCAAAACCATTAGTTTCGGGTTAAAAAATAATTGGTAATTTATTTCTCACAAAAAGAGAAAAGAAATAATATATATTTTCTGAACTAATTATAATAACGATCAGGAACTATTTTTCAGAAGATACCTGCTACTAGAAAGTGTAAGAAAATTGCTGTGCTGTGCAGATGAACGTAGCTGCAGCATGGCTGTAATTTTTATACATTTATGCAATTGCCTGGCAGTTTCTGAAAATATGTAATTGTCTTTTTATTAGAAGATCTTGGTCATTATGTGAACACATCTGTTCTACGGGGATAGCCTGATTAGTGGTGGTATGCAGCTAGTATAGTAATGCTATTAGTTTAATCAAGCCCTTTAATTTCACAGCAGTTACGTGCAGACAGTTGTGCCCCATTTTAAGTGATATATTCAGCAAAGATACCAGTTTGGTAATCACTGATAATTAGCATCTAAATGGCTTCCTTTCTGTTTGTGTGGTTTTGTTTTGTATTTTCACTCCAGTACGCCAGCGTTGAGAAAGATGGTGAGCGGTACATGACCCCAGAAGATTTCGTGCAGAGGTACCTAGGACTTTATACGGATCCACGTTACAATGCTAAAACGGTGCAGCTGTTGGCCGGAGTGGCAGATCAAACAAAGGATGGGTGAGAATTTTGCTTTCCCTTAGACATTTGTAATGCGTTGGTAAATGTGTGAGTGAATGAGTTTGAGAAGTTAATCTTCTAAAATGTAGTAGTGATTTTATTACACTTAAAGCTTATTTAGAGGATAAGCTTTTTTCTGAAGTACAATAAACTGTAAATTTGTGGAGATTGGGAAAAATACGGTGTTTGACATGCATTTTTTTTCTATTAAGATTTGTCTTAATGTGTTTTAACAATTACTACAAATGCAAAAGAAGTTGAACTGCAAATACGTTTAATGTAGTATGGTTGCCTTGGAAAAGTTCTTTCCTGTATACTCACATCTATGATTAAATACTGTGCAGAGTCTTTAGTACCTGTAATTAAACTTGGAAAAATAGACAAGCGTTCTTGTTTCTGTAGTGTGCAATTCAAATCAGACCCTTGAGGTCTTTTTGAAAGTGCTGGCTATTAGGTCAAAGAGACACTAATGACTCTATGAAGGAGAAAGGTGTTTGGCTATTCAAGATAAGGTCACAGCACCTAAAGATTTTCCAGCTCTGCTCACAGATGGTATCACTTGCTTTCAGATAGTTCTCTCAAACTTATTTACACAATGTCCACTCTGCTGAGGTGCTGCCTTTAACTCACTTGGCTTCAAAGGAGCCTTTTCTCTTGCTGTATGCAGACTTCTAGCTTTGGCCTTGGATTGTAGTAGGAAACGTGGACATTGTTGAAGTAAAGTGAGATGTTTAAGATGGATCAGAGAACAGGTCAAGAATCCAGAAGGAAATGGTTATTTGTAGAGAAGAGAGAAAGTTGCTGTTAAAATAGTGTTAAATATGTTTGCAAATATATAGATGTTACTTAATTTAAACTGAACGCCCCTTAACTTCCTTGTGTCTGTGAGTCTGAATCCGGCTTTTGACATCACTTCCATGGTGCTGGTTTTGTGTTTGTTTTCTGCTTTAGAAAATTTTATTAGTTTGCATAGTATCCTGAGCAGCTTGCACAGTACCTGTGCCTTACAAATGAATTTGTGTACGCTGTATATATTTTACACTAAAGGACAAATGTAGGATCTGCTGTTTGATGTAATGTTACATTTTATATAGATTTTTATAATAAAGTGCAGCATTTTGATAATACCTTTAATACGTGCATACATCTGATGAACCCGAATAACCTGTCTCTCTGTTTGCAATATGTGGCTGCAGTTTGTTGCGTTGTTATGGATTGAAGAGGCTGTTTTGTGTGTATCTGTTGAAATAATAGTCTAATTGACGACTAGTAAACCAATATGTTGAGTGTCTTGTTTCTCTGAAAGCTCTTGGTTATCTTTTATGATGTGCATTTCTTCAGAAAATGACCTAAAAGAATCTTTCTTACAGTGAGAAATCAATAATTTGTTTTATTGCTGCAACAGAACTTCACATTGAGGCGTCACTTTTTTGTTGCTTTCTCTGTGAATGTAAGTTTTTGGTGGGTTTTTTTTTGTTTGTTTTTGGTTTTTTAAAAATCTGGGTAATATTTGAAGTGAGATAATAAAATGTGGGTAAGTATGCTTTATATGGGATGCTTTATATCCTTGATATGCTTCTGTATGGGAACAGTGGGAAAGGGAATTACTGCCGTGTGGTCTGCAGTGCAAAATGTTTGTCTGTCTGAATACTTGTTTGAAACTTACTTTCCTAAATGTTTTAATCTATATTTGTGTCTCATCTTTATTTCATGTGAAGACTTTGTTATACCCCCATCATCATAATTGGTTCATTTATTTACTTTTACATTCCCATCCTTCCATTTGTAGTGAGCTGTAATAGATCACAATCCAGACTCTAGCAGCTCTATCTTCTGCACAGAGAGTTTAATCTGTAGCATGAATAATTGTTGTAACCTTCAGCTGAATTCCAGAATGCTTTACATCTTTCCAAGGACTTAAAGTTACTTTATGAAGTCCAAGGAAGTATCAGTAGTCGTGTTCCATTTATACACTTGTAAATTAAAGGACAGCCCAATGTCACACAGCAAGTCAATGAGAAGCTTTGGGTTCTGTTACAGAATTTTATTCCTGTATCTGCTATCATGTTCTCGTAATCTTGCTTGTCCTTCAACTAAATACTCAAAGTGTTACGGGTAGCTTTTCTTTGTTAATATTTTTTGATTTCATTTAGGTTTAAGTTGGGCACTTCATTAAAAAAAGCACATTTTGGAACTGGCTATCTGTAGACATATGTTTTAAAAAATGGTTCTTTTTTCTGATGGTAACTTGATCCTTACTTGACTGTTTGGACTACTGTTGCCTTCTCCCGTTACTACAATACAAGGCTGGTTTGCTTTAGTGGAACTCTGTAAAGTAGCTCTTGAAACATACGAGTCTTCACTTTCAAAGTGTTTATTCCTGATTACGAATGCATGTTCTCAGAAGTTAACGTGACGAGCTCTAAATTAGAATTGGCCTAAACTGCCTTGTCTGCTGTCTGTGTAGTACAGTGGAGTTGCACTGATGCTGAAGGCATTCTTTGTCTTCAGACTGCAGGCACTAGTTCTGAGAGCAAGAGAAATATTCTCTCTGAATAATGTACTTGTATATAAAAAGATAAACCAGCTTCCCAATTATGTAGGTCAGTTAACATTGGTAGGTATTGCAGTTTTAAAATGAAGGATTTTCTTCTCCCTTCAAACCTTCAAAATTTCACAGTAGTCTTTCAAAATTCTTCATTTTAATGGCTTGTTTCTGGGTACTCTTTTTCTCAGCATGCCATTCTTAAAATTTGGAAATGCGTTCCCAAGCTAAATACTGAAGAAAGAGTTGATGTTTCACATAATGGAGAGCCACAACAGAGCTATAGATAACGTCTAAAAGCTATGTTGTGTGGAGAAAAAAGAGCAAAGAGTTGTAGTAGGAAAAAAGGAAAGATAGGAAAGAATTGTAAACACACAGCTTGCTTCGTGTGCTTTTGAAGGGTAATGGTACAGAAGAAATAAGAGGAAAGGGAATTTTAAAAAATGTTACAGATAAAATGAAAGCTGAGTGATTTGATATTGTTAGGGACTCTAATGCAGCGGGTTCACTGAATGATACTTGAGTAGCGATTGGGTGGGAAGCGCCATCATTCTGTTTAATCTAGCGCCTGTTATCTCTGCCCTGATGGATAATGGGGGATCACGGGGGATATCCCTGCTCTTAGGCATTCCAAGTTGAATACATGGAAAGGAAATTGAATGTGTCTGTCTCCTTTTGCTGTAGGCACTGTTAAAGTGAGACCTCTGAAGACGGCTTCTTTCAGGTTCAGGCTTCTACGAATGCATTCTGCAGAGATCGTCACTTGATTCTGTCAGTTATAAAGCTTCCTGGTTAGGAATTAATTTGTATGTCAGCTTTACACTTGTAAGTGAGGTATACTTTGGAATGATAGTATTGACAATCATTTTAAAGGTTATTCTGTTTCTCTAATACTAAACCCTTATTTATCAGCATCATCCTTTGGATGAAATCGACATCGTATCTGAAGAACCCTTCTCACATCTCTGATTTTTGTGCCTAAAGGGTGATAAATTAATATAATAATTCTGTATTTTTCATATCTTAATTCCTTTCAAAATCACCACATTTTAATTGTATTTTTTCTGTATAATGCATATATGCAAGAATGTTATCGTACATAACCTTGTTTAAAGTATCTCAATTCTGTTTTACGTGTACATTCACAGAGAAAAACTAGATAAGCTAATACATAGTGCTTGATTTGTTTTTTCTGTAGGGAGCAGAATTTATAGTTGGCTCTTTAGCAGTAAGCAGTGTATGCATGAAGTAATCAATATGAACTAGTGATTTACTATGAAAAGTACTAAATTCAGATTGATTATGTACGTTTTCTAGGAAAATGTACCATCTGTAGTGGTACTCTTTGTTTTAACAGCATCTACTGAAATAGTAATTTTTTTGTTAATTAAAAAATGTATTAATAGATATCCCATCATTTATTTCTATAAATTGAGCTCAGGAACTTGTAACTGGATGGAATATTCTAAGTGATCAAGCTAAGTCCTGTATTTTAACAAGGATTAAAACACACAATAGTTTTAATAAACCAACTTTGCTTTTAAAACCTAAGGCTTTTGCTTGCAGTATTATGGAGAGGCCAGAGTATACACCTGCTCTAAATATTTTTATGGATATGTGATTTTGTTCTAACGCCAACATTATCCTTTACCTTCTCCTAGCTTAGGCATTGTCTGTCTGCAGCTGTTCTTACATACAGCATTAGGATTCCTTCTAAATGTTTTTTCTGTTAGTCAGAATAAGCTGAGTTCCTCTATAAAAGTTAATTGTGGTTATCCTAATAGGTTACCTGTGCATATATTCAATTCTGAGTTGATATGTGTTGAACACAAGGACTTCGATTCCTATGCAGTGTTCCAGAGGTGTTGTGGGAACCCCGTCTGGGGCTACTGCTGCTTCCTTATCTTGCACAGAAAGTTTTCCTAATGCATCCCCAGTTGCATTTTTCTGTATGGTGACTGCCTTGCATACACATTTCGGGATCCCATGATCTGCTATTACACCCAAATCTGTCCCTGCCTTGGTCATGTCGAACTGTCTTTATGTCCAGATGTTCTTATAGTTTCTTTCTCTCTTGTCCTCAAGTACATGACTTCACCGTTCATGTTATTTTTGAAGTATAGTATTTTTTTATAGTTGAAGTATAACTTTTTCTGAACCTGTTCATTTTTTTATGAATGTTACATGTTTTTAGAAAATACTTATATAGTCTAGTATATTCCTACATGTGCATTAAACTGTATTTTATTTCTCAGTAGAAATACATATATAAGTAATTAGTATAATGACAGCCCTGTAAATTTCATAGTGGTAGAATTTTTGTGGGTTTTTTATGTCTTAATTTTTAAGTGCTGCCTGCTTACATTTATAATGACAAGGTAATCAATTGTAGGTATTCATTGAGAATTGATTATATTTTGTTGTTGATGGATATGAAGAATTCAGTCCTTTTATAGAGGAAGAAACGGTAATGCCTAAAGGTGAAGTACTTAAATTTAACAAATACTTTTTAATTGTCTAGTGTATAGTCTTTTTAATGTTAGAATTTTATTTTAATAATTGGATCATACAGTTTTCTAGAGCATCACACACAAAATGTCATTGCTATTGTGGATAGTTTAAAAAAAAAATCTTTATAACTTCTGTATTTTCCTTTGTAGGTTGATTTCCTATCAAGAATTTTTGGCATTTGAATCTGTTTTATGTACCCCAGATGCAATATTCATTGTTGCTTTTCAGTTATTTGACAAGAGTGGCAATGGAGAAGTAACATTTGGTAAGAATACCTAGTTTAAGAAAGTGATTCTAATAGTGTAAATCATGGTAATGGTTCCTCACTGTTGGTGCATAGATGTGCGTATTGTGCAGTACTGTACTGATTTCCTAAGAGTTTGCATGAGTAAAACATATTTTTCTTTTCATGTGGTACAAGCTTAAGAAATATACAGAAGCAAAATGTGTTTTGGTCTGTCTTCTTGAATCAAGATTTTTCATGTTCCTGAAGTTGTTATCATAGAATCATAGAATGTTTTGTGTTGGAAGGAGCCTTTGGAGGTCATCTAGTCCAACCTCCCTGCAACGAGCAGGGACATCTTCCACTAGATCAGGTTGCTCAGAGCCCCATCCAACCTGACCTTGAAAGTTTCGAGGGACAGGGCTTCTACCACCCCTCTGGGCAACTTGTTTCAGTGCTTCACCATGCTCATTGTAAAAATTTCTTCCTTATATCTAGCCTAAATCTACCCTTTTTAAAATTTAAAACCATTATCCCTTGTCCTGTTGCGACAGGCCCTACTGAAATGTCTGTCCCACTCCTCCTTAAAAGCACCCTTTAAGTACTGGAAGGCTGCAGTCAGGTCTCCCTGAAGCCTTCTCTTCTCCAGGCTGAGCAACCTCAACACTCTCAGCCTTTCTTCATAGGAGAGGTGCTCCAGTATGTCATGGACTTTGAACTCCTTCAGTGATGAGGGACTTTTAAAATGTTCTGGATCTCCACATATCTTTGAGTAATTGTCATTAGATACAGCTCAATATAGAAATGAAGGAGTCTGCTCTTTTGAATTCCTAGTTTAGTGTTCCTTTTCTTGAGGAGCAAATCTTACTTTAATGTTACGAGTGTAATTTACAGCCAGATCATTTATTTGAAAAATAAGAAGAAAATTTGGCCTTTAAGTTTTGTTACTTTTTTTTTTCCTAATCCCATTGGACAGAATCATTTAGGCTAAATGTACTGCTTTATTGTGTGGCTAAATAACTGTTATTAAAGTTGCAGTTTAAGGAGGACTAGGTTTTATTTTTAAAACTTCACATGTTTATGAAAATTAGATAAATCAATGCTAAGAATTTGAATAAAATGGAATGAGAATGACATGTTATTTCTATCCAAAAGAATAAAACTCTCAATAAAGAAAATACAAACTATGCTTGGATTTGTAACCACTTGCTGTTTGTACTATTTCATTCTTATGAAAATTGTTGCAACTTGTTGAAAAAACAATGCAAGTTTCTTTCTTTTTATGGAAACAGGCTGTTTGACTTATGAAGTCTATTAAATTACATCATTAACTGACGGGTCAAATACTAAGCAATTTGGATGCACAACGTCTTGAAAATAAAATCTTCCAGAACATAAGTAAAGGGGAAGTCAGTAAATGCAGTCAGGAACAAGACAAACTACTACAATCAGTGTGGCCACGTTAATAATGGTATATTTAATAATCTCACAAAATGGGATATGCACTTTGTAGCTCTCATGAACACAGTTGAAATAGCTGGTTCCATAAATGAACAAAAAGTAATTTCAGATTGTGTACAAGTTCCTCAACCAGACTGCGGAGTGTTATTTTACACATTATTATATTAAAGGTTTAAAGAACAACACAAACAAGAAAAACTGTAAACCAGAAAGTTACACATTTTCTTCCATATCTTTCTTTCTGAATTTTTCTTTATAAGGCTGATAAATCTTGAACTGGAAACCCTGAATTTAAAATTTATTATCGGTTTCATGGTTTTACAAAATTAATTAGATTGCAGATATCACTCTATTTAATAGTATGTTGTAACAAATCATTCATCCATATTCTTGTACTACATTTCCCACATTTACTGCTGTTTTTTTTGCTTCTTGTTGCTGTTTGTAATGTGGGCTACTTATTTTCACTTCATAGGCATATCATACAAATTAATGTGTGTGGAAAAAATGTGAATGATGATATATTACATGTTCAGAGTTTGGTAATTCTGCAGTCAAAGTCAGTCTTGTGGCCTATAGAGGCTGTTTTATAAATGAGTCCTGCACTCTAATTTTCATTCCACATAAACAGAAAGGCACAGAGTTTACTTTCATGTAGAAGCAGGAGAATATATAAAATTAGGTGTTAAAATTAAAAGTCTTAATTTTTAGAAATATGCTGAAATGGAGTAGTTTTAAGCCAAATGATGTAAGAATTGCTATCAGCCAAGTCAGCTCTCTTCTATGAGTGTGTGATGGATCCAGTCTGCAGATAAACCATGTTGGTTATGGGTGCAAATGTGAGTCAAGATTTTCTAACTCAGATGCAATGCAATGTGGATGTGATTGCATTGATTTCAAAGCTAACTCAAGCCAGTAAGTCTTGCCAGAAGCGGCATGGATTTAATGAGCTTTTTCTGCACTGTGCTACTGGAGCAAGGGGTGGGTGTGCTGGAAGCTGAATTGACAGAACCAGCTTGGGTCTGTTGGGCCAGTAACTTGAGCCCGACACTGGCTTTGCTGGACGTGAGATAATGTCTCAAAATCATTTGGGTATGACTGTGTGGCATTTTCAGAAAATATCCTGATCTCTTCAAATTTCCAGTTATTTGGAGAAAGTTAAGTATATGTGTTGATTTTTAGAGCTGGCTCTGTATTTGAAAGCAAGTTGCTCCAGTCGGGTTCACGTCCCCTTTTTAGGTTTTATTTACTGACATGGACTTGAACCATCCTTGAGCACTTTGGCTTCTTGCAGTGCTCTTGAGCCTCTGGAGCCACTTGTTTCTTCAAATGTTTAGCTTCCAACTCTCCAATGCAGAAAACATTACATTGAATTACAGAGGAACCTCTATCTTATGAGTTAAGAACTGGAAGAGGACAAAGAGTTTATTGTTCTTTAGGAACTATCTGGTAGAAATACTTGTTGGCTGTGCTGTGCTAATCAATGTCTTTGTGCAATATCAGATGTTAATTGGGATTGTTGAAGCGGGAAGCCCTCTGTCACTTCAGTGTCATTTACTTTTGTATTTCTTTGGAACAGTTTTCCAGGAGCTTTGGACATCCAGAAATCCTGTATGAACGACTGCCATAAATGTGCAGATAGTATGATGGCAATATTTGTATAGTAGGTCCATTGCAAGAACATTAAATTGGACCTACTTCATATGAGCAAGCTAGAGCCTGCTCAGTGCCCTTTACATGTTTCAGCTGCACTGGACTTGCTGTGAGCTTGGTGAATAAAAAGCAATAAAGCGTGGGTTTTAATAACCCATTGATACAAGTGACAGTGTAGTTTAAATGACTTCTTAATGATGGAGAAATAGTAAAAAAAGTCTTTCTTTTCCTAGTCAAATGCTTGTACATCTTCACAAATGATTCCTAGGTGAATATTTGATGGGAAATGTGTTGCCGATGAGCCCTTACAATATTGATTTAACCATAAAATATTTAAAAAGTAACAGCTAAAGCTGATAAAGTGATTTTTTTTTCACACATTGTCTTTCTTGTTATTGGTTGCTGTCTGTAGCCAGAGAAGACTGACAACCACTTCGCTTTTTTGATCATGGGATGTGACAAGCTAAGCTACTTAACATGGGTGAAATATTTAAAGCCACTCCATAAAATTAATGCTATTATACTAAGGAAACTTCTTTTTATTGCTATTCTGTGCGGGTCTTTTGACCTGCATTCAGGTTAAAGCAAACCTGAATATTAAATCTGCTCAAGCTGTTTGGTTTGCTTCGATGCTGAAGCAGATGATCCCTACTGTGGATAAAAGGTGCAGTCTGTGACTGTCGCTGAAACTCCTCTCTAAACTAGGTTGTCTAACTGGAAGTAAAAGGATCCTTTGTAATTCCTCTTTGGCAAACCATACAGTGATCTGGACTGTATCACTCTTAATTGGAATGTACAATTTCAAGGCTTTTTGCAGCTGTTCTTCCTTGTAGAGTCACCACAAAGAACGCCATTCTCTGATAAACTGGGCAATTTCAGAGACATTTTTATTAGTTAACTATCCATGCTGGTATGGATAGAAAGATAGAGGTAAATTAATGAGGTCTTGAAACAGTTTTGCTGCCTCCATGTTTGTGATTCTTCTGTATTCAGAATTTTTACATTATTTTGGAGATAAATGGGAAATATTTATGGAACTGAAAGTAAGGCTTTTTAAAGCATCCTGCAGTTCAAAGTCTAATTAAAAATATTTTGCAGAGTATAATGGCCTCTTTAAAGGCACTGGGGGGAGTAAGGGGATGGGATACCTAGTAAATCAACTGTGTGAAAATTACCATGGTATTGGTGAACTGAAATGATAAACATCAATGTAATAGTTTCAGAAGTTGGGTACACAGTGATCCTGAAATCTCGTCCGTCTATTTTCTTTAGCAAATTTTAATCTAGGAGAGAAGGTTCAGATTTCCCTTAATCAGGTCATAGAGTTTGAGAATGCTGGAAGAAGGTGAGTGAGAAGAACGAGAGTGGGGAGTTGAATAGATGTTGTTATAGTCCTTTGCTTTTGAGTATCATTCCTCCAGAAACACAGATCACTCCTAGTACTCATTGCTTCCCCATTTCCAAAAGAGGACTTGGATTGACAATGCTAGCATTTGAGTTTAATAGTAAGAGATCTGCTTTATAAAACATTACTTGCAAGCAAAAGGCAGGAAACCTTTTAAAATGTAAACAGAATTCTCAATGCCATGCCTACAGATCTGAGGATGTAAGAAAAACACCATATTTTTATCAAGTGTGCTGTAAACTAGAGCTGCTATTTTTCTTGGCTTTCTGGTAGTCACAAGTTAGTTGCCTGTTTTCAAGATGTCTTTTGCTTAACACATGCATTTAATGTAGGAAACACCACTGTATGTTATGACTTTCTTTGTCCTTAGGGGTTTTTTGTTTGTTTGTTTGTTTATTTCCTGTTGTATGATTCTTTCAAGCTTAAACCACAGTTTTAAACACTTGTGAACAGTGCAGGATGGGAGCCCCTCTTTGGTTTTTATGATAATAATATAGCATTAAGTTCAAAACCATAGTTCAGCAAAAGGGAACAGAAAAAAGAACTCCACATTATAACATTGACAGTTTGTTGTTATGCCTGTCACTAATCTTAACCTTAAACACAATCACTAATCCTTTTAAAATAAGAGTAGAAATACAATGTGACTATTTCTAGTTTAGTTCTCACTTGTGATTTTGCTCTCTTGTCATTTTGTATTATTTGCATTTAGATAACTCTTATACTTCTTTTGCATCAGGTACTACCAAAAAAAAAAGTCTTTTTGCCTTTAACTATGATTTTCTGTTTTACTATTGAAAATGAAAGTATGTAAAATTTGCTGTTAGCAGAAATAGTGAAAAGTAGCAACACAGAATATGTTAAACTGCATTACGTACGTTGAAGCTGCAGTACGTGCAGATGGGACTCTAGATGATTGAGTAGATTGATTTTAAACAAATTAAACAACAAACCTTTAGCATACTTATGCTAGTACTTAAAACGATCATATTTATATTTCTGTGTATTTAACAAGCATGATTGATGTTCCATCACTGGCGAGGAGGGATGCCGAGCTCTGTTAACAGGCTGATGGCACTGGAGTTGTGTGAGGTTTCCACACTGCTTCTTGGGGAGCTGATAAGTCAAGTGAATAGGTACTACCTCAAGTAGTACCATTTACCTGGGGTACTGAGCTCATCCCTACCATGGGCCATCAACAAGACTCCATAGTGCTTATAACTTGAAGTATTCTTCCTCCTCCTGTGAAATTCAGTATTGCCTAAAAACTTTGTTTTTCTTGTATCGGTTTTCTGAGCCCGATAGGTAATGATGTTTTATGGAGGTCGAGCCAGTCGGATATGCTGCCTGCAGATAGCTCCTAGCATCTATAATTTGTTTAAAATGATTGGGTGGGGAAATTCTGAAGCAATCTTGAGAAAATGCATGTTGCCTTGGAGGTAACGTACTAATGCACTAGAGTAGTAGGTTTATTGTTCCTGGGGCCAGTGGTAAGTTGAGTGTGTCATCAGGCTGCTGACTTGTATGCGTATCTGAGGAGAAAATGCATTGCTAGAAGCCTGGAAAGAAAGTTATCAGCTCAGTAGGAAAGAATTCCACTATGGAAAGGTGAGCAAAGAGTAGGAGAAGACATTAGTAAATGAGCAACGTGTATTGACAGGGACAATGAATGCATTCTGTAAAATGTCATACTGAAATGAAAGGGTTTAAAAATAATTTGCTGTTTGCCCCCTGCAGAATAGCTCTGTTGGAAATTTGAAGTACTCGTAGTTTATCTTAATTTAGAAGCATTACTGGGTTTTGACTGAGAGAGATTAAAAAAAAAAGGCAAAAACCTGCAGCATCTGTACCTTAACGCTACCTGTTTTCTTTGTTGGCAGTGCTTTGCTTCTGCTGTGAAAAAAAATAAATTAAAAATAAGACATTTGATCATCATTCAAAGTGGTGAAAGTGTCAGTGATGATGACATTATGTCTAATTTCTGAAATGTGGTTGTCTGTTTGCTGCTTCTCATCACACAAGTTGTCAGTTGTGATGACTATTTCCTGTAATACAAGAGAATAGCCAACAAAATTGGATTAAAAAGGTATTCTTGATACATTGCAGAGGAAGCATCGCTACTCTTGGGTAGAAGTAGTAAATTTTAGTGCTTATCTAGAGAATCCCAAATGGCTTTGGAAAATTGTACTTGGAGTTTCAGTAGTTTTAACTGTGTCAGTTATTCACAACAGGTATGCAGTTTCGCTCCCGTACCCCAAATGTTTCATGAACTAAACCAACACTGAATTAATGAAGCATTAGATACAACAGCGTACCCTTAAAACTTGGACTGCTGTAACGTGGGCAGTATGCATTACCGATTGTGAGTGATTGCCTGTGGAAGAAAAATGGAGGAGGCACCTCGATTGTCAGAGAAGCAGCAGGCTAATCTGGGTATCATTTTTTAAAGTTAGTTAGCCTCTGCTGGGATTCTTCAAGTACCAGTACACTCAACTGTTGAATAGACATTTATTAATTCATTTCCCAGTGTTATTTTGATGTGCTGAAGAATCTTGTGATGTGTGGATGACTAGTTGTAAACATTAAGAATGAAAAAGCAGTAATGTAGGAAATGGATTCTTGATTGCTTAAGAAGTATACAATTCAATGCTTGCATGAGAGTTATGAACAGACCAAGGGCTTAAGTCTTATTAAAAATAATTGGAAGATCTGTCCATGTGAGCATGTATGAATAATTTCTTACAAGAAAAAAGTGAGGTGTTTTTTTTTTTTAACCTTTCTCTAAGTTTACAAGAAGCAATCACTGGAAACAGTTGAAAACACAATTTAAGTTTTCTGGCTGCTTCAGCATGTTCTTTCCTGAGTTTTCATTAGGAGAACTCAGTGTGTATTAAATGTCAGTTTTACAGATGTGTAACAGTCACTAGTTGGCACCCTGGTAGTTTGAGATTACGTATTCAAAGGGCAGATTGTGGCCAGTAAGTGATTTAACTGTAATTTAGGCCTTACTTAAAGGTCAAACATAGACTAGAGTGAAAAAAAAAGTTTAAACCATAGTTTCCACTGCAAAATAGGCTAAAGGAGTTGTTCAGGTAAACAAGAAACTTAAAAACCTACCCTGACTACTTGTAATTGTCCACTCATATCTATTCACTGATATCCTCCCTTATGAGGAGCGGCTGAGGGACCTGGGGCTCTTTGGCTTGGAGCAGAGGAGACTGAGGGGTGCCCTCATTCCTGGGGATCCATTGGGAAAGGGCAGTGTCAGGAGGAAGGAGCCAGGCTCTGCTCTGCTCTGTGATGTCCAGTGACAGGACAAGGGGCAATGGGTGCAGCTGGAGCACAGGAGGCTCAACCTGAACGTGAGGAAAAGCTTTTTTACTGTGAGGGTGGCAGAGCATGGCCCAGGCTGCCCAGAGAGGTTGTGGAGTCTCCTTCTCTGCAGACATTCAAAACCCGCCTGGCCGTGTTCCTGTGTGACCTGGTCTGGTGATCCTGCTCTGGCAGGGGTTGGACTGGATGAGCTTTCGAGGTCCCTTCCAACTCCTCTTATTCTGTGATTCTGTGATATCAGTGTGCAAGGTGAAGATAAGAAAATGAGAGATAAAGCACTCAATACCTACTATCAGACTATTTTATTTCACCATACTTCTGTTCAAAGTTTTGTCTGTATCAAAGAGGTGTGTTTTCAGCTAAAATATTTGTACTTTGTTTTAAATGTAAGCTATATGCCACGTTTTATTTGGGTTGGTAGGAGATTATAGGTTAATTGATTAACACAAATCAATTGAGGTACTTTGAGGTAGATTATGAAAAGTGCTTACACGGTATGGATAAAAGTTCAGTTACACTGTTTATGTGGTTGGATAATGTGCACAAAAAGCAGGCTTGTTTTGCAGCATGGCAATGCTGTGTATGAATAACATGCTGTTTTTTCAGATGAGGTTTTCGACTGCATTCAGATAATACGTTTGGCACTGAGAGTTCAGTCGTACAGTGTACACAGGGAGAATTCCATATTCTGAAATGACAGCTTTTTTCTTTACTTCGTTTGAAAGAGGACATCTCTATCTTCACTTATCTTAAAACATTTTAATAACTGAGACTACCAATTATGTTTTATAGGATTTGATTTTTGTGCTAAGGCCTTATCAAAAGCTTTTAATAAGGTGGTTTCTGCTGAGTTAATGATATGTTTTAGATGGCATTTCTTATACCTATCTTCAATAGACATATTCAGACAGTGTGATTGTAATAATCAAGTTTCAATCAAACCATACTTAGTATGACAACTGTCGCGTGAGATTGTAACGCAGGTATTCGTGCTCTTGATAAAGGGCTTAATTTGACTCCTAGCAGAGATGGAGAACCACTATTGATTTTTCTATCAGAATGCAAAAGAGCTCTTATTTGTCATATATGAGGGGAAATTGCATCTTAATTAAAACTAAATGAAACACTCACTCCGAGGTTTTATGCAGTAATACAGAAGGTATCACGTTGTGTTGCAAATATGTTCTTATACAGGTCTGTAAAGGTTCAGTTAGCAATTATTCTTAACAGATTAAAATGCTTCTTAAACAGCTGCTTAAAACATCATTTGTTTGTATCCTTCCTGGAATGTTTGTAGATTTACTGTACCCCAAAGCTCACTTGTTGTTTTTCCCTTCCCCAAAGCAAATGTCAAAGAAATATTTGAGCAAACTATTATTCATCTTCAAATTCCCTTCAACTGGGACTGTGAGTTCATTCGACTGCATTTTGGACATAACAGGAAGAAGCATCTTAACTATTCAGAGTTCACTCAGTTTCTTCAGGTCAGTTGTTAACCTTCTTCCAAAGCAGAACTGACATTCATTTTCACTTCTGATAATACACTAATACCTTTACAAATTTTGAGCTGATTCTGGTAGTGAGAATCATTATCTGTTACTAATCCTGACAGTTCTGATGAACTGATATTTCTCCATACCAGTTTTGTAAGTAGTATGTACTCGTTGTAATTTTACCTTGAATACCATCCTAGAAAAGAATGGGACTAAATATACTGTTAATGAAATTAACCATTTTAGTCATGTTACACTGGATCGAGGGTCTGCTTTTTCTGCTGTAGGAATTTAATAGCAAATCTGGTCTGTACCAGAAAAAGATTGCATCCGTAATATAACCAGTTGTTATTAACCTTATAAACTCCCATACAAAGGTTTTAGCTTCTTTAGCGTTTCTTTTAGTTTTACAAACCTTATTCTAATACTTACCCTTTTTTTCTCTCACTGGCATGCATGCTACCACACTTATATTGGGAATTTGGTCTTAAATGCCGCCAACGTCATGGGAGGTAAATCTGCTTTCCTGAGATGTTGCTGAAGCACCTTCTAGGGATCAGGCTTTAAAGGATCTCACTCCTAGAACTGGACTTTGTGCTAAGCCAAAAGGTTACAGTACAACTTGAACATTATACTAGAAGGAAGTAAAGGAAGATGTCAGTTATAAAGGACAGAGAAAGAGAAAAGTAGGAGAAATGTACATTATAATTCAAGAGAAAGGAGTTTGCAAAATTGTAGGTAATTGCACTGAATTCCATAAATTAGCATGCAGTGATCACCTCATGATATTGCTTGTTGTTTTCTGTCCAGTAGATCTGAAGAAAAATAGATTATGCCCTTCCAGAGCTGGCCTTTGGTACAAAATAGTTTTGGACATACTGTCTTAAAAGTAGGGAATGATAATGCGCTTTGGTATAATCTGTAATTATTGTCCAGGATAAAGCTGATCTAGAGCAGATTCTAGAAAAGCATATATAACTAGATAGGATCTGAAGTCTCTATTGTAAATTGAGATACTGGGGTTTGGCACAGTCTTTCAAGGCTGCAGTATAACTGGGAGTTACTTTCAAGAAATAAACTGTCCTGCATTTGATAGTACATGTTTTAAGTGATCTCAGGCACAAACCTGGGACACTAGTGCAGAAAAAAATCAGATTTCTAGTGAGAAGAATCTTTTTGTTGAGAACTTAGAGCAGAGGGATTAATACCTGTTCTGTTTTAATGTTTATTATTCCAAGATAGTAATGTAAGATACAGGAATCTCTTACTGTCATCATACAATAAAAAATCCTTTTAGGGAAGGGTAGTATGGACTGCAGTAATTTCAACATGTACACAAGTTGGATATTGTTGTCCCTCCTTTTAGATCAGGTTGTTTTTCTTATTTGGTCTAACAGCATCTTGTGGGGTTTGAAACTTGGATTGGAGCAGGCTTCTTGTACCCTGATCTAGAAAACCTTGATCTTGAGGTTACAAGACTTGAGAAATTACTGTAAAGGTGATATAAGCTAGATAGTTTGCCCTCTTCTTATTGTCTGTCAGAACATGGTTATTATTTTAGCTGCTTCTAGAGATCTGAATGACAGCTGAATGTGCTTTATTGTTTGCTTGAATAGAAGGAAACCACTTTTTCTGGACATAGAATTTACAACCATTGTTAGTATCTTGAGGTTACTGCATTGTGCTTTATATTAAGGTTTTTACAGATTGCATAGGAATTTTAAATTGCCTGAAATGAGTGACCATTTCTGACCTTAGGGGAGGTAGCTGCTGGGGGCAATCTAAATCTGTGTGATATAATTTTCACTGTCCTCCTGTTTATTTTCAAGTACTTTTCCATGAGTTAGTTTATTATAGCCCAGTCATATTTCATCTTGGATGTGTAAGTGATCAGCTCACTTTGAGTCTTTAGGATCAATATCAGAAATTACTCTAGCAGTTAAGTATTTAATAAAGGAGTAGACAGCAGGCAGGACATGGGTATGTGAAGTTTATTTCTCAAATCATTTAGTGAAAGTACGTATTTACTTACAGTTGAATTGAGGCTTTTCTTTGACAGAGGAATGGTTCTGTGGATAGAATCGGTACGCAGACTTCTTGTTTTAAGTTTAAGGCCTTTAAGTTTAAACTGCAGTTGCACTATGGTCTACATGCACAGATATATTCAAGCATGCTGTAAGAATATGAAATTAGAGTTTTGTGAACAGTGAGTTACAGGATTTGTTTCTAATCTGCTCTTTCTAAATACTCATTACAGGAGTTGCAGTCAGAACATGCAAGACAAGCTTTTGCACTGAAGGACAAAAATAAAAGTGGTATGATAACTGGGCTGGACTTCAATGACATCATGGTTACCCTTCGCTCGCATATGCTGACTCCATTTGTGGAAGAAAATTTAGTTTCAGTAAGTGTGAAGAAAAGTGCCTTGAATTCAGGGTTTAATAGCTGTAATGTGTGAAGATGTTATTGCTTCTCTCCCACTTTGTCTTCTACCTGTTTATCACTGTCTTGGTGCTAGAGATTCTCACCTTCATGGTAGAGGGAGCAGGGTGAAACCTGGCAGCTCTCCTTGGCTGCAGCAGTGGGAAAGTTTGGCAGCCTCCTTTACATGCTTCAGGTGCCACTGGAAACAGTTTGAGTTAGACTACTACACTGTCCACTAAAGCAGGGCAAACTGTACTCGGCACAGAAAGAACATTCATTTAGGAGAAAAGCATCTAAATTTTGTATTTGAAGATATGTCAGGTCTCAAAAGGTGGAGATTACTTGGAGTTTTGTCCTTTTATGTACTCTCGCATTCTTTTTCTTACTAGAATTTGGAAAATCCAGTGTGTAGATTCTAGAGGTAGAATGGTTACAGCTGTGATAGTCTGGCAAGATCTGTAGGCAAAGTAACGACATAAAACTTATAAACTAGAAGTATATAGTAAAAAAAGTATATAAGAATGAAAGTTTTATAAAATATAAAGTTATAACTTTTATTTCACTCTTTTACCTATAAATCTTGCCTGGCTTAACTAATAAGGTATACCATCTTCCATAAAATCTACAGTATCCAGGAACTTTAGACTTTGAAATAAATGGTTACTGCTGTATGTGATGCGAGAAGTCAGTTAGTGTCTTTGTCTAAAGTAGCATTTACATGCATTTCTCTGTTAGAAATAGAGTATTAGAAAAACCTTCAGTGACAGGATGTGTATCAGATAGATTGAATAATCTACTTATATGATTATTTCCTGATCATTTTCTAATGTTCATTTTTTACCAAAAAGTGGTATCCTCTCTAATAATTCTCCCTTCATCTTTCTATTAAAAATATCTTAAAATTATAGGAATAGAAAGATATCTTTAATTCTTTCCTTATTTGCCCAAATGGATGTTTCTGTAATTTGTAATAAGATGTTGTAAAAGGGCTAAAGGCACTTAACTGCATTCATTTAATTTTTAAAGGTAGCCGGTGGAACTGTTTCACATCAGGTCAGCTTCTCCTATTTCAATGCATTTAATGCTCTTTTGAATAACATGGATCTTGTTAGGAAGATATACAGTAATATAGCAGGTACAAGAAAAGACGTTGAAGTCACGAAAGGTAAAGTATATTTCCTACATTTTATTATTTATTAGTTCTATCCAGTTTGTGATCTGATGTTGCACATGGGTTAAGGAAAGTAAGAAGCTGCAACAGTGTGCAAAGTTAGGGCTCCTGTGAAATTATTTAAAGGGTGCTTTTCATCCTTACAGGTTAGTAATGATTTTCAAGTAGCTCCTTAAGGAGAAGAATTTGGATTCAGACAGAAGCCTTGTTGGCCTTATTAGTTTGAGTGGGTAACTGCAAGTCAGTGCATTATTGAGGGTTTTACCTGTCCTTGAAAGGAATGCAAGGTTGCTTAGAGATAGGAAGTTCCTATGGAGTATGATGGAATGGGTTAAGTTTGAAAATCCATTCTCAGTAATCTCCAGGTTGTTTTAGCTCTAGTTCATTTATTCCTGATTAAATCTTTTTTAGAAAAATGGTAATCATTTATACCTTACTGCTTACTTGCCTGAGTGGTTTTATATATTGTTGACGTCTGTTAAGACGTAGTTAATCCCTGTGCATATGAAAGGTTGCTGTATTTCAGTCTTGCCGCAGGCATGAGTAGATTGCGTTTGTAGTAATTTTATGGTAGATTTTATCACCAATTTTATTACCTGTATGGATGGGACCAGCCAAGCCCATGTGTGGTAAAAAGCATGCCAAGTTCTTCTTTTCTTCTTTGTCTGGCTTATGTTCATATGTTCTGCATACCCCTAAAAGAAAGCATACAGTGCCTGTTCTCGTCCTCCAAATTTTGCTAACGAATTGCCTAGCAATGATTTTTGGTGCAAATGCATAAATACATCTTGCTTTGGTTTGTGTTGTGAAAAAAGCTACTGTGTTTTCACTGCTCTGGCTTGTTTACTGTAGCTTGCTAAGTATGTCACGAGCATGTCATGTAATTTGGCTAGATGGACACCTGAGCGTCGGGTCATTCAGAGCTAGCAGAGGAAGACATCTGACATGGTGGCAATAGATGAGTCGGTTGCCCTTACAGCTGTGAACAATGGGCCGTTATTCTGTTCTGTTCTGTTTTGCAGAACTTCATGAATCACAAATCGTGATGTGTTTTTTTAAGCTTGCTAATATGCGGATTTTTGTTGACTTTGATGAACTTTTACCATAGATCAAAGTTGTGTTGTCAGGCTTGCTGTGTGTTGCAAAGGTCTATTTCAGGATAGAAATTGTTTTGAAAATATCTTTTCCCCTTCCATTATGGATTTTGCTTCTTGGTGATAGATTTCATTTTTATGACATTATTTGTGAACAGTTAAAGCAGAAATTTGACAAATAACACAATTGTTTTACTTCTCTTTCCCTTTTAAATACAGAGGAATTTACCCACTCTGCAATCCGATTTGGGCAAGTTACACCACTGGAAATAGATATTCTCTACCAACTTGCAGATTTATACAGTGTTACTGGGTAACATAACAATTAATTTTATCATTTTACAGTAATTATTATGCTGTTCTCTGTGTGTAAACCACTAATTTTCATCTTAATTTTAAAACATTTTGTGTCTCATTGTATTTCATTACAGTAATTTATTAAATGTAAGCTGACTTTGGTGCATGCATGGATTTTGCAAATGAGTTGTGTACATCAAGCACAAATATTAATTGTCATATTATAGGTATACATGTAAACATAGGAAAATACATTATGGTGGTCTCAAAAGACTACAATACACTGATTTTATTAACTTGAAGTATTGATGATGTTCTACGTTGGTCTTTAACACCTGGGAAATCTTAGGTAGGACTTCCCAGAAGTAGTTTGTGTATTACTTCCTTTATTACTAGTAGTCAAGAACTTGCTTCTGAATAATCCAGGCTCCCTTTTATCTCCACTGGGCTACAAGAAGAGAATGCCCTTCTAACTCCAAGGATTCAAGAAGTTCAGGGAGGTTCAGGGAGATTCAAGGACAGGGAACTGCTGGAGAGAGTCCAGCGTAGGGCTACAAAGATGATCAAGGGAGTGGAGCATCTCCCTTCTGAGGAGCGGCTGAGGGAGCTGGGGCTCTTTAGTTTGCAGAAGAGGAGACTGAGGGGAGACCTCATTCATGTTTGTAAATATTTAAAGGGTGAGTGTCACGAGGATGGAGCCAGGCTCTTCTCGGTGACAAACAATGATAGGACAAGGGGTAACGGACACAAGCTGGAACACAGGAGGTTCCACTTCAATTGGAGAAGAAACTTCTTCTCAGTGAGGGTGACAGAGCCCTGGCCCAGGCTGCCCAGAGAGGTTGTGGAGTCTCCTTCTCTGCAGACATTCAAAACCCGCCTGGACGCCTTCCTGTGTAACCTGGTCTGGGTGTTTCTGCTCCGGCAGGGGGATTGGACTGGAGGAGCTTTGGAGGTCCCTTCCAATCCCTAACGGTCTGGGATTCTGTGATTCTTTATAGCAGTGCAGCAGACTTCTTAGACATGCATTCAAATATAACAGGTGGTTTTTTTAAACTTGGGATGTATTCTGTGTGGCCAAGAACACTGTATCAAATATGTTTGATGCTTTATCTAACAGTAATTTGCTTTTCTCTGCCTTGTGTAAAGGCGCTTAACTTTGGCAGATATTGAGAGAATAGCACCGCTGGCAGAAGGTGCATTACCTTACAACCTGGCAGAACTCCAGAGGCAGGTAGGTAGAAGTGATAGATACAGTAAAATTGCTGAAGTTAAGTGAACGTTTCCATGTACTTACATATGGAAAATAAGAATACACTTGAAACAGGTTCCTAACAAGTGCAATGTGCTGTATGTATTGCTATAAGGATAGATGGGGCAAACTATTGAGTATGTGTCTAAACAAGATACTAGATTTCATATTGAAGAATGGCCTATTTAGGTATGAGCTTGTTGGAAACTTGTATACCTTACTGTGAATCCATTTGTTCACTCCTGAAAAGGCCTTTCACGTCATCTCTGTAATTATAAAATTATTTTTAGGTAGTAAAGAATAAAAGTATTAAATGCAATGCTTATAAATGTGTTTGAAAATTTGGATGAAATGTCTTGACCATTTATCTACAATGATAATTGAACTTTACTGTACTTGTTTACTGTACTTGTTGACTACCTGATCACCTGTGCCTTGTTTGCCATGTATTTGCCCGTGGATGAGGGGTCCTAGGAGTCTGAAAATGAAAGCTTGTCTTTCATTCATAAAAAGCCTTTTATTTCTCAGCTCACTTTTTATGCATATTGCAAAGAGGTTCCTTTAAGCACTTATATCCACTACAAAATCTAGGATATGTATCAGTGGCAGCAAGATCTTGAATTATTTCAACTGCTATGGTTGAAAAGTTGTCCTGTGTGGAATACAGCAAGTCTTGCATATGAGACTTCCAGTGTGTTTTGGTTACTGTTCGTACAGGTGGATTTGATCATTGAGTTCTCTTGCAAACAAATTGGTCTGAAATGCAGTGTCTGACACCCGCTCTGTTGTCCTTAGGAAATCAGACATATCTGAGCCAATGGAGTAAGTGTCCAAAACCTACTTAATGGTAACAGCCTCCCTATGGATTCCTCAAGAGAAGAATGGTGGAATGGATTGGCACAGAAATGTGTATATCGTGTTTATCCAGACTAATGAGAAGCATTTTTGATGAGGTTTTGTAATTACATTCCCAACTGCCGACTGTAGTTTTAGTTGGTGTCTTTGTGGCACGCAGCTTTCTGAGTAGACAAAATACTAACTGGTTTGTTCTACACTTCAGAATTACCTTTGTAGCTTGGCACTGTTATAAAATGAGCTCATTGATTAAAGTTTCACTCATCACTAGAACAGAATATACTCTTTTCACACTCTTGTAGTAATACATTGTATTTTCATCATATTCTGCATTGAGGGAGCACAGCAGAAAGCAAAGTAATGTAATTTTCTTTGTTTTATAAGCAACAGCTTTTTACTAGACCTTATCCTAAGCTAACCTTACATTACCTTATTTAACTGTATCGACAAAATGAAAGATACCCCTTTCAGGAAGAGAGAATGTAATCCCAGTAAGGTCTGGACAGTAAGGCTGTCCCTGGAAAATGAAAACAAGTCTGTAATCACTTTTATGTGATTTAAAAATTCATTCGTAAAGGAAAATCTAGATTTTTACATAAACTCACCCTATCTTGGTAGATTTGGTGGAAATGGAAATTAGCCTGCTTTCAACCGTGTTTACTTTATTGTCAGTTTTTTCATCGTGTAGGATTTTCTTAAAGCCTAGCAGCTGAATATCCTATAAGGATGACAGCTACAGTAATTTTCTGTTTATAAATATTCATGATTTGAAAGCTATAGCATTAATTACATTCATTTCCATATCCCTCTGAACACACAAGTAAACGGCAAACTTTGTGGACACTTATTTGATAATATGAAAGTGCATTTCCTTCGCAAAGAATTTGATTGTTAACATCCAGCGACACACTCATTAAGATTAATGTCTGAATGTAATGATTGGATTTTGATGAGGACTCTCTGGAACTTAGAAGGGAAAAAAAATAGCCTCAGAACAGCTAAAAGGAAGCAGGTGTGCTGAACTAGGAGAAGTTTTTTGTGGTCTGAATAACCAGTCCTGTTTCTAAGCCTTTTTGGGGTAGTATTATTGCATGTGTCTTCTATTTACATGAATCAAAAAAAGATATCTCTGTATTTTAGAGTTTATTTTTGTGGTTATTTTGTTCTATTGTGATTTTTTTTTTAATTAAGATCAGGAAAAATGTGTGAAAAGTGTTTTGAGACTAGTGAGGACATTCTTCAGATTTATTGCTTGTATGCTTGATTTATGCTTTTTGATCCTGGTCCATATGCGCAGTTTACTGTGTTGATGCTACCCAGAGTTTCTCTGTTCTTCTCTGTGAAGTTATATTGTTGCAGGATAATGTCTTACGGAAGGAAATCGTGGTAACTCCATCTTGTTCTTCTGTGGGAAAACCATGTAAAATATGCCTTATGTTTTTTTGCAGGTAGCGATCCCATCTTAATCTCGTAGGCTTTTGTCCTACATTGTGTACATACAGTGTCACATTATGCAATAAGGGCAAGGTTTTGCACATCCAGTGTAATACCAGTCCAGGGTAGCTTACTCTGAAGTACATCCTCTTTTTCTGTGGCTGTTCCATTTTCCAGAGCTTCAGTAAGCTGCATGTAACTTAGCTAAGTAGCCTTGGTGAGCTGGCTGTGAGATGCGCACGTGGTCACCTTTGTGAGGAGCTCCTCGTGTGCGCAGAGCAAAGCCTGCCAGAGCTGTCTGAGGTCTAGACACGTTCCAGCTGTGCTGTCAGGAGCGCGTCTGCTAAAGATACAGGGTGCTTTTAAGAAAAACAGGTTTGTGTTTGGGACATGGGCTTTAGTGTGTATCTGCTTTATTATGGAATTTAACAGGTAATATCTTAGCCCTTTATATAACCCAGACAAGTTATAGTGCATAACAGAAATTCTTTTCTGATCTCCTTACTTACGTTTGGAAGAAAATTTGGCCCGTCTTGCGTACTTTATAGTGCAAGCTTGTGAGCGCTGACATCTTGTTTATCAGTTACCTTGTTTCTAATAACAGCTAGTAATATGATTATGAGTCTGCAAATATTTTCTATGCAGACTTGTATGTATTTCGAACACTAATACTTCATAGTCGTGTGTGTGATTGAAGTGAGTGAGGTCATCATTCTGTCTGTAAATGATCAGCTGCCTGTGAAGAATACTCTGGGGAATAATTGACTTGTTGCTTGTGTTGAAGACATGAAATGTCATGATTTTGCTACGTATTAATGTATATGTAATCTTAACATATATCCCTTGCTCATAGATGCTGTCTGTGAGATACTGAATTCCTTTTGAGTTACTGAATTTTATCTCAGCCAAAAAGGGGGTTCAATGCCTTTCAGATTCAAAGGCAACAGAATGGAAAGTAGCAAAGTTCCTTTTAGTTTCTATCTACTTTTTCTTGCCCGTAGTTGTTTTGTCTGTACTAGGAGTATGTAAGGAAGAACATTTTCTGAGAGGAGCATTTGAAAAATGTGCTTCATTCATTAGGTGAATGGAAGTTACACAGTAATTTCTTTTTTTTCCCCTTTTAACTGAAGGCTACCAATTTCTATCAGATTCTTTCTGTAACACTACAGAAGCCAATTCACAGGCATTTTTGTTTTCCCGTGCAGATTTTCAAACTTCTTTTATTTTTCTCTTTTCCTTACACAGCAATCTTTTGGAGAGCTAGGCAGGCCTATCTGGCTCCAGGTAGCTGAGTCAGCTTACAGGTTCACTTTGGGCTCAATTGCTGGAGGTGAGTAGTATTTCTGGCTTCTTTTTTCAAGCTTGGGTTAGTTTAACACTGTCTTGCCAGACTACTTGGTCTCATCTGAGGTGTATTTCTTGGTTATACATGTGAAACGCTGGAGGGTGGAACCACTTTTGGTTGTGCCATTCCCTTTCTTCTCTTACCACTTCTGTTCCAGTGTCCCTCCACAGTCCTCTGAAACTCCACTCCAGTAACAGATTTCCTTACTGGTAATTCAGGCTGGTCTTTGTTCTACACCCCTTGTTTCATGTAATAGTGTAATCCATTCTCCTTGAGAGTTTCTTTCTAGACTTTCAGTATTGTCCTTTCTTACTTCCAATGTATCAGAGATTTTACCAGCTTCTATATTCTTTGTGTTTAAAGAAATGTAGAAAATCATGATAGTAATTATATACTACACCAACAAGGCTGTTGCAGAAATAATACCCCAAATGCTTTCTTACAGCCGTTGGTGCCACTGCGGTGTATCCTATAGACCTGGTGAAAACTCGTATGCAGAATCAGCGCTCCACTGGTTCAGTTGTGGGAGAGTTGATGTATAAAAGCAGCTTTGACTGCTTTAAAAAGGTTTTGCGTTTTGAAGGCTTTTTTGGTCTCTACAGAGGTAAGTGAATAAAAAATATCTATGTCAAATCAAGGCTTTGCTGATTATTTTTTTTAATACCTCAACAGCTAGTTTCTTATGGGAAAACCAGGAAACTTGATATCACGTACAATTTTGCTTCTGTTTCATAGAGCTCAATATTTATCTCGCCTTGAGCGCTCTTCACTATAAACAATTGCTGGGGAAAACTGGGCATTTTTCTTGTTGTTGCTGATTTGCTCCTTGCTGCTTAGGTTGTTCACAGTCCTAATTTCTGGAGTATGGGTGTTATGGACATGATTGTTATCTCACAAACTGAGGATTTTCACTTTTGGCTGAGGGCAGACACGATTTGCAGATTAGCATCTGAGGAATAAAGATCCGTTTTACTGCAGATATGTTTTGCTAAGAGGCAGAAGACATTTCATTTTGAAATGGACCTGGTAAACTGGATGCCGAATCTTATGCTTCGTACTTTTGCAAGTAGTGGGGCTTGTTTTATGATTTTATTCTGTGAACACGAAATTGCATCCTGCTGCTGTATTGTGTTGCTCTGTTTTACTTCAAAATATTAACAGCGAGACTCTTAAAAGTTGTAATTTAATAAAAGAAAAAAAACCTTCTCTAAAATACAGGTTAAGAATTCAAAGCAGCTTTTTAATCTATCGGTTAGACTAAAAGCTATGTTATATCCTGTTTTACCTTAGGAGATTCTGAGAGGGTTTTTATCGCATCAATAAGGACTTACCTAGAGAGTACATTCTAGCCAGTCATCTGAAATGGATATTTAGTAGAATTATCTATTTTCCATTGTAATGTCACATAAATTAATGGAGTGCACAATTGTCATAAAGATCAGTAAGGTGTTTATTAATTGGCACCTTTTTGTTTTGGGTTGGAGCAAAGCCGCTCACTTCTGTGGTAGTAACAGCCTTTTTTCTGCTTTGCAATGCGTTCTGTCAGTGAAGACACTGGACGTGTCCTTTGAAGACGGCACCTGAGAAGTTTTATCATGTCAAATCTTGGCTTCTGGTTAAAGAGTTTTTTGTAATCTTGCAGGATTTTGCTATTCGAGTGAGTAGAGGGAGGAATGTGTCAGTGAAAATGTTAATGAAATAGCCGTAATCTCCGTAAATGACATCTCGCTGGTCAATTGTTTTCCTTTTTTTCTTGCTGAATCTTTCACAGAAGCAAATACTCCCTGAGTTACACTGTTGAGAGTGTTTCTAAAGTGCTGTTCTGCAGTACTGTTTGCTTTCTCTTCTCACCCCTGCGACCACATGTTTTTGCACAGCGGCTTCTAAACCTGATCATTTGTTATTTTCATTTTTGTTTCCTAACCTTTCTCAAACACTTTGAAGTCAAGGATGATTCCACTGATGAATTAAAAACAATGCTTTACTCTTAAGAAAAAAGTAGCCTGTTTGACAAAATGTCAGCTTCTTAAACGTCTTAATAGTGTCCAATAATTGTCTTTAGGGTCGTTCAGCATAAGAAGTTCACGTAGTTGTTTTGAAAATGTTACACTTAATAGTCAGCACGTCACTGATGAACTCCTAGAATTAGATGTGGAAGTACGTTAAACTAAACAACAAACATTTCTGGAGCTGACTGTGAGTCTGTTACTGGTTCTTGTATTCTTGAGCTGGTTTATACTAATGGTATTGTAGTATAATGGTACAATGTAGTCGTCTACTGCAGTTTAGAAAATAGATCTGAATGCGTACTGGAAAGTTAGTATTTTTAAATAAAATCTTACAAATTTTGGTCAAGAAAATTAGGACTCACTTAAATCCTGGCGTCCAACCTCAGCACTAATGAAATATCTTCTCAGGTCCCTCATTAGACCACGCAGGGTCCTAGGTTCCCTGGCACACAAAATGTGCGTGCCCAATGAGTTCAGCTGCACAAAAGTAGGGGTGCTGAGGGGGTTGTCTTGCGGTGTTTTGTCTGGTATTTTTGGGTTTCTAAAACGCAGGCGCTGCAGAGCTGGATTTTCTTTTCATGGCAGATCAGCGATTCAGGCTGGGAGGGCAGCACTTCTTTTTGTTATTGTCAACCTTTCTTTGTATTTAATAACTACCTTTCCTCAGCACAGTAAGTCTGCAAATCGCACAGAAAGTACTGTGCTGGAAGAAAACACCACGCTGCATATATTAACTGCTGCACTTTCTGTTTAGGTGCGTTTGAGCTTCCTTTTAAAGGAGTGCTATAAACAATTCTGCAGGCTGAGTGCTTTTGGGAATCTTTCACATTCTATATGAATTTTTAGCTATTAATCTTTTCCCTTACCGGATAGAGGAAAGCTGCATTGATACAGGTTTGTGGCTGTTGTCTGATATTTGATAGAAATAGCATGGGATTTTTTTGTTAGTTAACTGGAAAACACTTTTGCTGAACTGATATTCCCTAACCATGGGATAACATTAGGAAGGGACCATTTCTAATAAAAACAAGCCTTTTAAGTTTTATAATCTAGACATATACCAAAATAAGCGTGGAGAAAATGGATTTAACAATAACAGATGCTGTTATAATCTTGTGTGTTAGGAAGTTAAGACTGCCATCTACTGATTTTTTCCTTAAAGCTGTTAGTTCCTAGAAAGGTGTCCGTGCTTTTGTCAAATGGCAGTTCGTTTTGATAGCAGCTGTTTTCCAGGAGCAAAGGGCCTTTTCAAAATCAGTTTCTGTCCACTAATGCTTCGTCTTGGTGAGATAAAAAATGCTTCATAGTAATAGGGTTTGAAGTTCATGCTACCACATTGGACTGAACCAGAGAAAATCCTTTATATCCTTAGTTGACCAGAGCCTTCAGAAAACTCAGGTTAGTGAGTCAAGTAGAAGCGAGTTGCTAATTTATGACAGCCATGTGTGTATCTCACAGTTACTGTCCTATTTTAAAAAGTAATTGCATGCTTTATGGGAAAATTATATCAAAGGGCAAAAAAAGTCAAACGAACTCTTATGTAGTAGACCTATCCAAGGTACATGTGCAGTCCTGACCCTTTTTTCCTTCTGTACAGCAGCGGCATCAAGCCTGGCTTGGTCGTAGAATGCAGATTGTGGTCACCCTTTTCATTACCGTTTTCAACAGAAATCTGAATATAAAATTGTATTGGTATGAATATGCAGTGCTCTAGCAACATCACGTACTTAAATGCCATCCCTCTCAAAGGATATCCCATGTGCAGAAAGGCGTTTCTATAGAGCTCTTATAAAATACTAGTTTCTGAACTAGGAAGATAATGTTGCCTTATGATGTCTTTGTTTCTATAGGCTTGTTACCACAGCTGATAGGTGTTGCTCCAGAAAAGGCTATTAAGCTAACTGTACGTATCTTTCTTTTTTTCCCCCTGGCATCCTATTGTTTGTTAACATGCACAGGATTTATTTTCTAAAAATGTGTGAAAGATGACCACTTACAAGCACTCTAATACATGTGGTTACAGATGCACTTGATATGCGTTAATAAGGAGGAAAAATAACTTAAAATTGTGTGTAATGTATTGTATCTTTATTAGGTTAATGACTTTGTCAGAGACAAATTTACGAAGAGAGATGGTTCCATCCCGCTCCCCGCAGAGGTCCTTGCTGGAGGCTGTGTAAGTATCCGTCTGGTGTTCCTCGGAAAGATTGATTCTCGGTCACATGCAGCCCAGTTGCAATGGCAGTTAATGGGTGTGCTGTCTCCGTTGCAACAGAACTGCTCTTTTTTCTCCCAGTCACAAGAGCTGAAAAAAGTGCTTTCCCTGTTCGGAAAGCTTTGTGCACTTCTGAGTTGACTTCCCTTGGAATTGCGGGTTTGAGCAACGTTCTCTTGGCCCAGTTTCTAACTGTCGGTTTCAGCAGTGGTTTTATTCTCAGAAGACTGAAGAGACGGTGCCTTTTCTCGCTCTCTGTACTTCTGCTTGGGTTGACGTTCGTGGTTAGTTTGGAAAGATAAAGGTACTCATTGAGAACAGGTTGTAGGGATCATGTTTGCTTTTTCTTCGGGAGGGGTGGGAAGCCAGAGCACTTTTAAAAAGTCTATTTCTCGCTCCAGATTTTAAGCAAGAAAATAAATACACTCTTCAACTTGCTGTATGTGAAATATTTCTGTTCATGAAAATGGGGGAAAGCTGACTGGTGTACTCTTACCTTTCAGATATGAGTGAATTTTCTGTTTAATTGCCTTTGTGTAAAATGTAGCCACATTACTCCAGATGCATCCTTCATGTAAATACAGTTCAAAACCAAGTTGTGTTTCCGTTGAGACTACGGGCTGTAATTCAGTGACTCTCTTAGCAATCTGTAAGTGGTTTGAATTGATATCGATGAGTGATTTCTTTTGGTTTTGCACATTGGCTAATTTCATTTGTGGGATTCCCCAGCAGTTCGTAACCCTACAAGATGTTTAAGGCTCGAGTTAGGTTTCTTTTGTAGCGGAGAACACTAATAACTTCCAGTTGAGTAGGCTGACAGGCTGGAATAAAACCTCCTCAGCTTACAACAAAACCTGGGGCAGAAAGGTTGTTGACCTCTGCAAACTTTTAATTCAAAGAAGCGGCCCTGGAGGGAGGCTGCTTATAGTTCTGCCTGATTGAATTTGGCAGCCTGGTACATGCTTGAGTCTTCACCTGTCAGTGTACGAAGTTTATTTTCTGAGAAATGTGAGAAAGCAGCTGTGATGTATAGCTAGCAAAAGACTAACCTTTTCCTGGAAGCCCAGTAACACAGAAAGCACATACAGGTCATTTATAACAGAACTGAATAGAATTCATTAGCGTTTTTCTGGGTGTCGTGGTTAAATTCACAATTAAAATCAGACATCTGATGATAATTTTTGTTATTTTACATTCGTTTGTACTGAAATGTATCTTAAATTCAGTCCACATTAGAGGCTTTTCCACTTCCTGGTAGGTACTCCTTTTTCAAAATAACTTTCTTATCTTACTGTAGTGAACATGCAAAAATTGGGGAGAAATCTGAGTTTCAGATGAGCTTTCAGAAGTGTGAGTGTTTCTGTGAGGCCGAGCAGGTTGATCATCTGCCCAGACACAACTGTTTCTCCTAGCTGACTCTCTTAGCTGGTATTCTCATCTCCTTTTTCAAAATAATACTTATTTCACTCAATCTGGGATTGAAATTCGAAACAAAGTTGGCCTTTATAGCAGAGGAGTTGGCCATAATTCAGCAACCTCAAGGATGCTCATTTCTTTGTAGCCTTCTCTGGATCGTCTGATACCTTACCAGTTGGTGACTTTTCTGTCCGTACTGCTGCTTAGTTCCATTTTAGCAATTCTACTCCTTCCTAAATACCAGAATCTTTATTAGCAAGCCTATAAAGTTTATTCTACGAGTCTGAAAGCATCAGTTGCCTGAAGCAGTAGCGAGTTGATGTTAGTCTTTCTCCTCCTCAGTCCTTCTCATCCTGATTGTGATAGCTCTTTTCTGTGTCGACTTGCTTGGAAATAGCGTTGATCTTTGCACTTCTGGTGTTCACTGTATACTGCTTTTGTACAAAATTTTATGAGACTTGATCCACAGTTACATCCAAGGAGGTGCCACAGGTAAGCTTAGTCTGCTTCTGTGTGCAGGGTCGCACAAGACTTTGGGCGATGCTGCCTTTCTTCATTTTTCCTTCCATTCTGTTCCTCCTGTTGAACCTTCTCCTGATTAACAAGAGTAATGCACTTTGTCGTAAGTTCTGAAATGGAACTGGTAGTTGATGAGCAGGCCGTGTATTCAGCTGTTTTGTAATGTTTACAGCAGAGGCTTTCCTGACCTTTGAGGGCCCACCCGGTTGTGAGCTGTACAAAGGCACATTGTGCATGCCACAGTGCTCAACCAGGAACTAAGAAAAATCTCGTGAGGAAGTGGAGGCAGCTTGGGAAGGGCTCCAGCAGACCTAGTAAATGCTCCTCTCGGGATGGCAGTGCCATATCAAAGCCTACGTGTGGTGTCACAGTCTTCTAAGACCCACACATGAGGACAGGTGACACCTTTGACATTAAGACAGTGGTGATTCAAGAGACCTGCGTAGGCCGTTCGGTATCCTCAGCTCTGGAGTATCTGCAAGAAGTGCTATAATATCCAGCAGAGGGGCTGCCCACACACGTGTGCCTCCTCCAGAAACAGTAACTCCGAGGGACTGGATCTCTTTGGCCAAAATCTGACTCCTGAGGCTCCAAGTTATTCTCAGCTCCTGTAAGGTTATGGAATAAACGCCCATTCCCAGTGAATGTCTTCATTCTCGTGGCTGTTCGCCCACGCAGTGGCCTGTTGATGTGGTCAGCTGCCTGTCTGTTGTCTTTCCTTCCTTACTGCAAGGCAGGGACCTCCCGCAGCCAGCCGTGCCCTGTGCTCCCTGAAACCTACCTGCTAGCCCCTGGGCAATGTAAATGTCAGTGGGAAGGGTAGGGTCTGCTTTGGCAGAGCCCAAACACTCCCAGCTGCTCCCAAGCTGTAGCTGCATTTGAAATGTGCAGAACAGCAACATGGGGCAGCTCAGTTACAGCGGTCAGGTCATACCTGTCAATGAGAGGGCTCCGGTCCCTGCCGGATGAAAGTGATAGCCCATCTTCCTACCTTCCCGAGAGCAGGCTGGTTTGTTAATCATCAACAGCACTATCTCACTCGTGCATGTTCAGAGAAAACAGTTTATTTCCCTACTGTTACTGTAATTAATTGAATTACATTGCACTGTGATTCAGCGATTAGCCTGCGTTCCTGCCTTTGGAGTTTTCAGCTACCATTAGCTTTGAGTTGCAGGGACACTGAGTGAGGCTTCGGCAGTGCTTTCCTGTATCCCGACAGCGGCTGGGGAGGCAGAGACCACAATCCTGATATGGACGGTGCTTCTCAAAGGAACTCACACGCGTGACACATGTGAGCACGTTGCGAAGGGCAAGGTGCTGCAGGGCCACAGTTCTTCCTCAGCTGGGCAGTGATGCTGAAGTAGGCATCTAACGCTGTGTGAATGGTTCGTTAGTGCTGCTGCAGTAGATAACGATGCTGTCATTTTAAGCTGGAATTCCTATGAGTTACACAGGAAACAGATGTGTTCTTCCCATCAGTGCAGCGTGCACGGTGCTTAGCATTTTGAATGGGCGAGTCCTGTTTCAGTAGAAAAACGTTTCCGATTGATGCTGCGGGGAGGAAGAGGATGTGGAGTGCCAGGCAGAAGGGGTCTAAGAGCCCTTCTTGGAGGTGTAGGCAGTGCATCTGTTGATGATTAGGGGTGGGGGTGTGTTCACACATAGAAGTCCAAATCTACCACCGATTTAAAAACTCTTGTGTGTTTAAACATTAAATGTAACATTTAGTTTAAATAATTTGGTATATTTGTGAAAATTGTTTTCATATGTATTTATACAAGCACAAACATGTATGTAGCTTATCAGGCAAACAGGACTGCGTCAGATATTTTGAAAAGCTCAAAATGCTACTGTTTTTATTTAACAAACACAAAAATACAGAATTATAGCCGTCAGTGCTTCTTCTTCAAAATCTTGGAGATACTCTACTTCTTTTAATGTACTTTAAGCATCTAAAGTTAGAAGCAGGATTAAACTTTACCGCTTTATCTTGGTCTCCGTTGTGGACATTTTAAAGTCAGGGAGAAAATGATCGTTTAGTAAAAGAGACAGTAAGCCTACAATGACAGCTTTGCCTTGAGAAAGAAGCACAAGTTCTTTTGATGTTCTCAGACTAGATTGTTTTAAGCGACATCTTGCTTTGGCTGCTTGTATGGGACATAGCTGTGGTCCAGGATGTGGTGGTTTCAAAAAGGAAGGAAGGAAGGGCTTGAAATAGGCCTCTCCCCCTTTGTAGCTTATGCCTCTCGGGTGGAATTGGAAAGGGCAAGAGGTCTCATGTTGCAGGGTCATTTGTGTATTTCCTTCAGCCTTTGGCATGTCATGGGGCGTTTGCTGTGGGATCTCAAACTACATCTTTTCTCTCATAACCTTTGCTGTCAGATTTAGTTCCTTTATTTGCTCCTTGTAGAGTTATTTTACATGACATTAAGGTTAAGTAGAAGCTTTTATTACTGGTATTTTTGATGTGTATGAATAACCTCCATTCAGAAACAAATTTGTCAACCTTTTTTTAAAGTGTCTGTTGTAATTTATGTGTGAAGGGAGGTCTTTATGAGGGGAAAATCTGGATTTTAGTGCGCCTTCTCCAAAAGACATGAAAAGACTGCAATATATACCTCTGCATATATACAAGTGCCTGTGTATTTAGCTGACAGCTGAAGTAAGATACTTTGACAAAGAATGACATGATTGCCAATGATTTGCACAGAAGCGTGGAGATTTGTGTTGCAGCCCTGCACACGGTGAGTTCGTTTCTATTTGGAGATCCTGTGTGTCGTTCTCCTCCACATCTTCTGGGAAGTGCCCTTCCTCTGCTCCACGGGCAGCACTCTCCTCTGCCTCACACGGTCTTCCTCAGATAGATCCGCAACCCGTTACTTAAAAAGAAAACACTGACAACCATAAAACAACACTATCGTTCGTTTTTTAAAAATACCCAGTGAAAAAGTAGTGAGTTTTACTGTGTTACGTGCTCTGCAGCAAGGGTGACGCTTGCCTTCCCTGTACTTGTGCTCTAAGGGCCTCACTCGTTCATGCAGCTCCAGTGAATTCATCCATGTTTGCTAGCAGGGAGTGTTTACCTGGGTGTCTTGGCAGGCACAGCTCTTGTTGACAAAGCTGCCTGGTGAGAAGTTTGCCAGCCCTGTAAATACTCAGTGTTGAAAGGGTTAATGTAATTAAAGAACTTTCCAACCTGTTTTCTGCTGATAATATAAGCATATGTTAGGGTTTTCCTTATTCTTTGTTTTACTCAATAACCCAATCATCAAGTCATATTTAAATATAATTGTAATAGTTAATTCTGTATTAATATACAACTGGTAACATTGTCTATATAATTAGTATTGCTACTAATTATTAAAGATAGGTTGTATTTTAGCCTGGAGAAGAGAAGGCTGAGGGGAGACCTCATCCCCACCTACAACTGCCTCAAGGGAGGTTGTGGAGAGGTGGGTGCTGGTCTCTTCTCCCAGGTGATGGGGGATAGAACAAGGGGAAACGGCACCAAGCTGTGCCAAGGGAGGTTCAGGTCAGAGATAAGGAGGAAGTTCTTTACTGAGAGGGTCGTCAGAAGCTGGAACAGGCTGCCCAGGGAGTCGCCATCCCTGGATGTGTTTAAGGAGCGGGTAGATGAGGTACTTAGGGATATGGTTTAGGGGGTAGACAGGAGCGGTTGGATGTGATGATCTCAGAGGGCTTTTCCAACCGAGCCATTCTGTGATTCTGTAGGGTCCTCTCTCTCCATTTACCTATCAGAAGAGGGCTGTTGCTGATTTTAGCAGGAAGGCAGTTGTGCCCCTAGGAGAGCAGGATGTTGGTTGTGGGAAGATTGAATTTAGGGTGGAAAATGGAAATGTTTATGAATTAGCCTGTTTGTGTTTCTGTGGTGAGTGTTAGGCAAATAGGAAGAGTTATTTTAGCTGCTCTGCAGGATGTAATTGGTAACATTAGAAATAAAATAATGGAATTTCACTTACATATGCAAACAAAGAGTGCATCTTTAGTAGGCAGGTAGCGGTAATTGGGAGTGCATTTCTAGCTTGGTGTCTGAATTTAAAGTTACTTGTGTTTTCGTGTGATGTGTTGTGTTGTGCAGTAAGAGCCTTCTGCTTCGTGTTCTAGCTGCCGAAATCATTTTTTAAAATGCTGTAGGGAAACGATAAACATGTGAAATTGGTTTTCTGTTTAACGCGATATGAGCAAAAACCAATCATTTTTTGTTTAATAGAACTTTCCAGATGTGAATTTGATTAATTTTATTTGGATTGGAAGTTTGCCTGGCAGGACAGACATTTCATCTTGCACGCATTAGGTGCGTATGAACTGGGAAGGTGAGATGAGAAGCAGAGGGAGTTGAATAATGACTTTGGACACGAGTGCTGTCAGGTAACTCAGTAACTCCAAGGAACGGAGAAGATGGGATGAGCTTGGCTGGTCTGGGAGTTCTGCTGATCTCCCTCCTCGTTGCAGTAAACGCCCATGAAAATGTAGGCTTTGGTTTTCTTTGAGAGGTAAGGAAGTACAAGTGAGTAAGTAAGTAAAAGAAGTGAGGGAGTAAAATGCAGATGAACAGCTAGACTGGTTGAGTGGGACGTGTTAGAGACTGCGACTACTGCAGTGGAGATGGTTCATCAAAAGCAGGGGTTGCTCTCCCACCGTTTGGGTCGAGGTGCTTTAGTAATGCCATAACAGTGACTCTAAATGTTAATATTGAGTGAAGGACTAAATGGGGCTTGCAGTAAAAGAATGGCAGTGCACTCAGTCAAGGTTCAGTGAAGCATCAGATGCTTGGTCAGTGAAGATTTTGATGCTTCGTGCCCCCCATCCCATAGACACTACCAAGTGCTCGAACATTCTCAGTGAGGGCTGCTGGGGTTTGCAGTGCTCTTTTGTCTCAAGTCTAGAATAATTCAAGTTACCAACTTCTACAGCACGCTTCAGGGCTCATCTCAAGTTTATTCTGCCTGCTGCTGGAGGAGGAGGAGTGTGCTCCAGGCAGGGAGGATTAGCATTCGTTAGCTCTGAAGCCATTAGCGGGGAGCACCGTGCTGCTGCCCAGAGCGGCCGTAGCAGACTACTGATTTTCCTTCACGTGCACACACACCCAGCATCACAGAGAGGGTTTATTTCGTGGGCAGTTTAGAAGTGGAAAAAAGCTTTAATTGCAGATGTTCTGCATCTTTTTCCTTCACTAAAATGTGATGGGTTGAAGGAATAGATCAGGTTAAAGAGGAACTTCTAGATTGTGGAAGAAATGCTTTTTAAAGTTGGCTGTGTTCAAGTCGATATGTTATACATTTTAAGGAAATAGTTTTAATTTATAAATGAAAAAGGGTAACTTGGGTACAGGGAGGGGGCAGAAAGCTTAGTAAAATTGAGCTGTTTTGTGAGGAATCACACTTCTCCAGCAGCGAATGGCAGTACAGCAGACCAGGGAGGAATCTAAACATGCCATTTGCAGCAGGTTTACATGCTTCTGAAGCTGAGCTGTCAGACTGAATCTCTTTCAAATCTGAAACACAGCTCTTGGGAAGTCTTTGGTTAAAGTGCAGGATCCGAAGCAGCTCTGCAGCACTGCTGCTAGGAAGTTTGCAAGATGGTCCTGCAGCGCTGCTGAAGGAAGAAAGTATTCCCTGCTTGTAAAACCTGCCATGCTCAGCTCAGAGAAAGCTGTGACTGCTCTTGCCATCTGGTATCATGTTTTGAAATGTTACTCTTCCTATTTAAATTTTATGTTTTGTTTCCACTTAGGACAATTAAAGGCTGCTAAACAGAACTCCATACACCTTTCCTAATAATTCAGGATTACAGCATTAAATGCAAATTTACCCTTTAAACAGCATCACCACAAAATGCAAATAACGTGTCGACACATCGGTGGTGGATTATTATTGAATAAACATAAGGTCTTTTTGATGTGTGTTTGATGCTCTAGTAGCACAAGTCTAATGATTGTTTTAGTTCAGTATTTCATGTAGCATCTGATCGACTTCTAAACACAGCCTCAACTTCTAGAAAGTGATGTCAAGGAGAACAGCAGAGACAAACTGAATTAATCCACCTCTGTGGACTATAAACATATAAACATAAAAACGTGTTTTGTACAAACCCATGATTTCTGTTTTGCAGCTCTTAACTTCCAGACGGGTGCTTTATTAAATACCTCTGGCATATTTTCACAGGAGAATATCAGCCAGTGCAGCGAGAAGTGAAGGCACCCAGCACCTTGCAAAAGTCCACCTGTCACCACATGCTCTGGTAATGCAATTTGCTTCCTTTCTCTTTGGGTTTGCAGGCAGGAGCTTCCCAGGTCATCTTCACCAACCCTCTGGAGATCGTGAAGATTCGGTTGCAGGTAGCAGGAGAAATTACTACAGGACCCAGAGTCAGCGCCCTGTCTGTTATAAAAGATTTAGGTCTTCTTGGTCTTTACAAGGTATGTATTTCTGCTTTGAGTGGCTTGATCTTTTTATGTTTTATGCTAAACTTTCGCATTGTTGAGACAGAACCTGTTAAAAACAAAGACATCTTTTGAAGTTAAAACCAATCACTTCCTGCAGGGCAGCCCCACAGTGGAAAACGGAAGAAAACCCACTTCTATATTAATGGCAGTGGGATACAAAAAATACTCCCCCATTCTATCCTTTGGGCTTTTATACCACGCTACAGGGAGTCCTGTATTGCAGACCTGCTGGCTTCTGGCACTGATCATTTCGTTTGGTGGGGTTTTGTGAAAAGTTTCTTTAGCTTTCCCTGCGTGTTTTTCTTCAGTTTATTTTGAACCTGTTATCTCTATTGTTATCTTTGCAGCAGGATGTTCTCTTTGTCTTAATAATTTGACGGCACTGAAACGGCAGTGGAGTTTAGTAGGATTCAGACTTTTAAGAAGTTAAGTGGTGGGATTTGTCAATAACAAATTCCACTAAAAACAAGCCCATACAGTCCTGTGCTTGAGTAGAACGGCAGTCAAGAGATTCCTTCCCTGCAGGTGGACTCGCTGCCATCATTACAGATCAGATGTAATGGAGCAGAAGCTATTAGTTTTCTTAAACAAGGAAGAGCATTTCTTCCTGTATCTTCTGCCAGTGCAAGGGGTAATACGTAAATTCAGCAGTTGTATCTGCTCTGCACTTACAGAACATTGCTTTACCTGATTTGTCCCTAAGACCTGCAATAATACCATAAAAATGTGCTAATTTACTTTTGGAGATTAAGCTTTTGTTTTGAATTCGGTAGATGAGATTCATGACCCTTTCCTTCCCTGAAGATGGCAGGTATTTTGGTACACAGGACAAAACTACCATTTCTGGTTGCAGGAATTAAATAATTGAGCTCACTGAAAATTCTGCTCTTCTTTAGAAGTGCGTTGTTATTTGTGAATAACTGTGAGAACTCATTTTAGAGCATAACGTGGCTGCGTGAAAACCATTGAACGGATGAGTTTCTCTTTATCAGCTCTTCTGCTTAAGCCACGGAGGGTTTGTAATGTTTGCTGTCTGTTGGTGTGACTGCGGAGTGGCTGCCCTCAGGTGGGTCCGTTGTGCGAGGCTGAGTATCAGGTTGAGTATCGGGGCAAGGAGCGGTGTTCTCGTAACACGCACGCTTTCAGGGTATGCAGATGAGATTCTTGCACACAGAAGGGCTTATTTGAGCTTTGTACGGAAGGAGTTGCTGCAGTTGGTAGCAGACTGATGACTGAAGTTACTACAGAATATTAGATATATTTTATGATGAGGACTCTTGTATACAGCATGCAAAGTTCTGTTAAGGAACTCTAATGCCAGATTGTGGCCAGGAGCTGCTCCTTGCAGTGTTATCATAGGCTGCTAGGTTTATCTCCCTGTATCTTCTTAAAGACTCAAAGACCGTTTTGCAGCCATTTCCCCCTTTTTGCCAGCCTTGCAGTGCAGCTTCTTCAGTCAACCAGACGCCGATCAGCAGAGATCGGTGTGAGGTCTTACAGTCCTCACTGGTGTTTTCGTAGTGCTTTTGTGTTTGGTGGAAGTAATGGCACGCAAGGGCTTGTCTTGCTGCTGCCGTGGCTGTGGGCTGTTGTCAGCGAGACAGAAGAGCAGACCTGTGTCGCTTTCTTCCTTTCATTTGCCCCTCAGTTCAAGAAGGACAGGAACTGCTGGAGAGAGTCCAGCGTAGGGCTACAAAGATGATGGAGGGAGTGGAGCATCTCCCTTCTGAGGAGCGGCTGAGGGAGCTGGGGCTCTTTAGTTTGCAGAAGAGGAGACTGAGGGGAGACCTCATTCATGTTTATAAATATTTAAAGGGTGAGTGTCACGAGGATGGAGCCAGGCTCTTCTCAGTGACAAACAATGATAGGACAAGGGGTAACGGACACAAACTGGAACACAGGAGGTTCCACTTCAATTGGAGAAGAAACTTCTTCTCAGTGAGGGTGACAGAGCCCTGGCCCAGGCTGCCCAGAGAGGTTGTGGAGTCTCCTTCTCTGCAGACATTCAAAACCCGCCTGGATGCCTTCCTGTGTAACCTCATCTGGGTGTTCCTGCTCCGGCAGGGGGATTGGACTGGATGAGCTTTTGAGGTCCCTTCCAATCCCTAATGGTCCGTGATTCTGTGATTCTGTGATGTGGACACGTCACACGTAGAAGGTATTTGTCCTGGATGCTGATGGCAGGATTGATGAAATGAATCATGATCAAAATCAGATGTGAGCCCTGTGTCTTCCTCATTCTAGAAACTTACTTTAGAAGTGCTGTATTCTTTTTTCAAGTTCAATTCTACGTCTTCTGCTTCCCAAGACATCTTATTTTCTGCGTTACGTACGTGGTAGATCAAAAGAGTCGGTACTTTCTGGGCTCGGGCTGCTTGCTGGATATCAATTTTAACCTTATTTACAAAATGTATTTGTATTATGTCTCTTTTCTGTGTGACAGGGTGCCAAAGCATGTTTCCTTAGAGACATTCCCTTTTCTGCAATCTACTTTCCTGTTTATGCTCATAGTAAACTGATGCTTGCTGATGAAAATGGCCATGTGGGAGGGCTCAATCTCCTTGCTGCTGGAGCCGTTGCAGGTAATTTTGCAGAATGTTTTCTAGAAGTAATTTTTCTTTTTATTCTTTTAGTGAGTAATATTTAGTATTCATTCAGTAGCCCCATATAAAGGAAGGGTACTGTACCATTGTATCTGATTTAATCTAAATTTGATCACTGTTACCCTTAGTGGGAGGCGATGTAATTTTGATGAGAGCTAATTACATTTGCATAATGTGGATAAACAGCGTAACACAGCTCAGCAACTTGGAGTCAAATTTGATCTGTCTGTCTCGATGGGGTTTTACTTGTTACTGTGCTCTCAGAGTTGAAGGCTAATTTGAATCTTTGATGAACATAAAATGAGATATCATGAGAGCTAAGAAGAAAATGACTTACCTAGCTTTGGATTCCTGACTAAGTGAGAATAAACTTTGTTCAAAGGTAATTGCTAAACAGAGAGCATTAGTTTGTAAAGAAGCTGAAGTTAAAGCATCACACTCTGAAATTTGAAATACTTTAAGGCTTCTCAAGAATGTTGAGTATAAATAGAATACGCAGCTGTGACAAAAAGGTTGTTTTTACTAAATGGCAAGTGGTACAAAACTCCTGGATGGAGCAACTGCAGCGGTGGATACTTAAAGATGCGGATGCAGATGGCCAGGTTCTGCACTGTTGAGTAGATCAGGAGATGAAAACCAGGTATCTGCAGCTCCTCGCCTGTGAGCGGTAGGACCTGTGCAGTTCAGAACCACCGTTGGGCTGAACAGACTCTGGGTTATTTGTTACAGTCGAAGGAATCGCTGTTGTATGCGATGTATTGTGTCAGTCTTGAGCCGAAGGAGCAGTTTCCCTATCAGACTTGACTCAGAGCTCGGCTGCACCTCCTCATTGCCACTGATCTGCCCGGGAGAGTTCAGCGAGGGAACCAGGAACAGGCTTGCAGCCCTGTTTATTCTCCAGAAATGTCTCATAACTTAGCTCACTGTCCTCACAGAAGCATATCTAAATATTATTTAACTCGTATCTCATATAAAAACTCACTGTTTTTAGTTTTAGACTGCAAACTTAGCTTCTCTTCGTTTGTTTGATCAGTGTTTCTGATGAACCCTATTAAAAACGTGTACAAATTTGGTAGGCCTGGTTTTGTAGCACGTACAGGAATCTGCCTTGCTGAATTGCAAATTTCAAACTCCCGATTGCTCCATCTATTGCTGTTACGCATGCGTAGCAGGGAAGAATACGGTCTGAGCATACCTGCCTGTGCAGGAAAAGCTGCACGTGGTTGCTGTCAGCGTGTGCTTGGGTTAGCGACACTGCTGCTGGTTTTCCTTAAAACTTCCTGAATTGACCAGCAACACTTTTGAGTTTATGATCACCTATGAAATCAGTGACTTGTTAAACTTAACTCAGTGTTAACCAACAGTAGAGTTCAGCAGAAGTCAAAACCAGTTTCAAAATTCCAAGTCAGAAGATGGTTCTTCTTTTAATTGAAGAGGCTGAAATTTTTACAGTATTCAGAAATAGCTCAGATAACAGAGTCAAATACTGTAGAGTACATTTCTGAAAACCTTCTCCTTTCCTTTGCCTGGAGAGCTGAGGGTGGTGCCTTGGAAGACTTCAGTCACTGCTGCCCAATCTCGTGCTGTGGGTGCTGAGCAGCCTTGTAAAGCGCCTGCATTGTCCTCTGGTTTTATGGCTTGCCTGGTGAAGGACGCAGCATCCGTTCCCCTGCAGAGCAGCCCAAGCAGCAGCACAGACACGCTGCTGTAGAGCAGGTGTTTTAAGTAGTGGTTTTCTTACTAACACCGTTGACAAATGGATGCGTAGGATCCAAGTTGCCAAACCAATCATCTGTGTAACGTGCACAGTATGTTGTAGAGCGTCAGCAAATACAGTAAGGCTGCACAGCTGAGGTTTGTCATCTCTCTTATGACACATATATCGTATGTGTGCATGTAAAACCACCTCTCCTATCTGTCTGAAACAACTGCTAATGGCAGACCACTAGAACACGTTGAGTTTATGATTATTTTTTCTACTATCAGTTATAGCCTTTAAATTTAGAAGAAACGTAAAAGGATTTTACCAAGCCTAACAGTTTCTATTAGCATCAAGTGCCAGAACTTGCAGCTTTAGTAACGTCTGATTCTTGAAATAAAATGATTAAAAGTTTGCAGCTGCATTTTTCAGTTAGAAGTGTTTCATCTTTTTTACAAGACGCTTTGTGCAAATTAAACGTGGTTTTCTCCTAAAAGGTGTTCCTGCTGCTTCTCTGGTAACCCCTGCTGATGTCATCAAGACAAGACTGCAAGTGGCAGCTCGCGCCGGTCAGACAACGTACAGCGGAGTCATCGACTGCTTTGGAAAGATCCTGAGGGAAGAAGGCCCTTCGGCGTTCTGGAAGGGGGCTGGAGGTGAGAAATGCACTCTGAATATTAAGGCTGACTCCAGACCTGCACGTTAGCGCTTGCTTTTTAAGGACTCCAGTCAGAACAGCATTTACAAGGTCTGATGCTGAAAAACGTAACAACTTATTAAGAATGTTCAGCTTCTTTCTTGAGAAACACTTCTCTCTCTTTGACACTATGGTTTGTACATTCGACAGCACGCGTGTTCAGATCTTCACCCCAGTTTGGTGTCACTTTGGTCACCTATGAGCTTCTGCAGAGATGGTTTTACGTCGATTTTGGGGGCCTGTAAGTCAACTATTTGCTTTTTAGCTTGCATTAAAAGCCTGCCAAGTTTAAAAAGTAAACCAATACTTACTTTTTTGTTCCCATGCATGGAACCACTTAAACCTGGTGAATTCGAGTGCCTGGTTGTTTGGGTTGTGTGTTTTTGGTTTTTTTCTCCAGTGTGCAAAAATGCCCCCCATCCTGACATAGTTGAGAGAAACTGGCGTGCTGCTTCTGAACAGATGAGATAAAGAGCCATTTTATATGCCTTTAACACACTACATAAACTTTGTATTTGCACTGCTGCAAGGTATTTTGTCCATTTTCCCCATGTCACTGGAAGTTAAAGAATTTACAAAGCTATCAGTGAAAATATAACTTCAGTTTTGGCCTTGATTTCCCATTAAGCAGTGCTCTGAGCTCACAACGTCACTTGGCCATAGAAGTGGATTAATTAAGGGCAGCTTTAACAGTCTTCCTAAGTTATCCAGGCTTAAGAAAGCACTAATCAAAGGCTTTTTTCCTTTTTCTTTCTTCAAACAGCAAACCTTCTGGATCAGAACCTAGCCCAAAAACTCGCATTTCAGATCTTCCTCCTGTTAACCCTGAGCACATAGGTGGATACAGACTTGCTACAGCTACATTTGCTGGTATAGAAAATAAATTCGGTTTGTATCTTCCAAAGTTTCGAGCTCCTGGCATTACCTCAGCTCAACCAAAAAGTAGCAGCTGAATCCCGAGGAGATGTTTCAGCCTAACAAAGGGATGCAGTGGGAAACTTCACCAGAGTAGCACTGTATTTTCCCCAGTCAGCTGCATGTTGTTCTAGCTGAACTGAGCTTGCAAATCGAATTACTCCTTGCTAATGTTAATATATACCTGTGTTTATTTGTTTCTTTACACACAAGGAACTGACTGAAGCTGTGGTTCTATGCCTTGTTTCAACCAGTGGCATGAATCTGTAGCCTAGACTTTGCCTTGCACAGCCTGCGGTTAATGTTACTGTACATATTGTACATCTTTGTACAGAGACATCCTGGCATTACACACGTACATTTATACAATGGGTACTGCAGTTCAAAACAGTTTGACTTGTACAGAATGTTTTGAAGGCGTTTTGTTATCAAGTGACAATAAAATATTTAAAGTCACTTCTGTCAGTTCGCTTGTGTTTATGGAAAACTGTTCCAATGTGGGTTTTTTTCCTCCTCCCCAGATTACAGATTAAAATGTAAAGCTTAGATGCGGTCATTTAATGAAGGTACAGTACAGGACGTGGCCTCTGAAGGAACACACGTCACTGCTAGGTACAGCAAAGGCGTGGAAATGCAGTGACTTGTCAGTGTAAGAGAACAGAGTGACTACATGAGCACATGGAATCTTTGATTTTGCAGCACTGCTTTGGAACAAGGAATTCCCTCAACACACATAGCAATACTGAATGTGTAATTACCTCTGTGGTAGCAGATTTAAAACACAGGTATTTGCCAGTTATCAACAGACAGGAATATTTTTTTTACAGGATTTATTACTCAGATTGCTTTTTTCCACAATGGAATCTATGTCTAGATTGTTTTACCATTGAAAGATGTGGTTATTCAGGGTGGAAAAAAAAATAAGAAAAACACTTTTATATGCAGAACTAGTTTTTTAGACCGAGAATAAATTCCAACGGAGTGGAATGCTAAGGAAAAGGAGAAGAGAAAGGAAAATCTTGAACTATTTCTGGTTTAATGTCTGCCAAAAGTCTATCTGGTATAATTTTAAAATGCAAAAATGTCAGAGTTCATAGGGGAGTCTAAAATTTCTACAGTCCTGGAGGAAAAGTATTTCTATTACTCCTAAAGCCAGAGAAGAGATGGGTAGGTTTCCAGCCTTGCTTACTGAAATATGACAACCTCCAATCGTTAGTTTTACATTTCTTTCAGGGTTAAACACCCTGCAGTACTGCCTGTACCAGCGGTACAAACTGTTTTGAGGGTCTGTGGTTTTCTTGCTCGGGTGCCAGCAGGCCAACATGAGGAGTTTTAGTCAGCTACTGTGGAAATGGCTTCCTAAAAGCTGAACACCATACACGCAGACAAGCCCTCCTTCAGTTCTAGCCTCTAAGCAGATGCAAAGTCTTTCAGCACTGAATAATACTTAGTGAGCTAGAGGGTGCAATGTATTGAAGTGGGGAGGTTGAGCACTGTTCTGCAATATGCAGATATACAACCCCATTAGAAGGCTTCCTGTCTTCCCCCTGCTCCCCATTCCTGTTTTAAGAGTGACCTGTTCTGTGCAGTTTTCTAGAGACAGGCTTCCCAGCAACTCTCTCCCGTATCTGTGTATTTTGTTCTGTGCTTTTCTAAATAGATACAAAAATGGTAGCTACCCAACTGGCATTTAATCTTAGTCACAGCTTGTTGACTGACTTGATCAAGGCCTTCAGAGACTTCACAACGCAAGACAGCATTGGTATTTCTTACAGCTCCAAAACTGGTCAATGATGCTCCCAGGATGATCATTTGCAGTACCCAGCATCACTGCTGGTCTCCTAGCGTTGCAGGTATGGGTTTTACAACATCTTTAACCTGTACTCAGCTACTTTGTGAGGGAGGAACACAAGCAGGAACGAGTACAGAACTATAGTTTAAAAATA